CCACAACATCCGTTCCCAAATCCATAAGATCAACTTTGGTGAGAACACCGATTGTCCGCTGGCCTTCAGGGTCCACCTCGCGAGCCAGTTTCAAACCGTCGGAGTTAGCCAAATCCTGGTTAGCAGCCGTTACGGCAAGAATAATCGCGTTCGGCTTGCTGATATGTTTTAAGACCATTTCTCTTATTTGCTTCTCAATATCTTTGGGTTGATCACCGACCGGCACTTTAGTAAGACCGGGCAAGTCAACCAAGGTTAGTGTCAGCACGTTGGGGGAGTAAATTCGTAAATTAATCGGCTGAGGAGAGATTCCTGCATTACGGCCGGTCTTCGCCTCGGTTTCTCGAACGATTTCCTCTCGGATTTTGTTGAAATCGTAGAATTTCTGACCTGGGATATGCAAGAACTCTCCATACTCGTCGAGATTCGACTCCTTATCGGTGGTCTCAATCTGCTTGTCCTCCTTGATCCCATTTGCCTGTGACTTGACAAGAGCGGGCTTATTGATCAATTGTAGCACTAGCGGTCGTCTGGTTACGATGCCGGATCCTCTGGGAAGACTGTATTCATGACCTCCGTTAGCCTAGCACCACCCCGTTGCGGGTTGGGCCATAGTTCTCCTTACAAATCCCTTCCGACAATATTCTCAAGGACGGAGCTCTTTCCACTTGACTGCGAGCCGACCACGACGATCTGCGGTAAATCTATCGGGTTTTGAACCTTTAGAATTCGTTGTTAGTAACCATCATCCCTTGCGACTTCGGGGGAGGGGGGGCAAACGGCATACTCCGACTGTCGTAAACACATCCTGCAACTTATTGACAAGGGAAATAAGCGATGGGTCATTAACATTTATCCTGTTAGCGAATGCCGTCTATGGTTAGCTATGCACATGCTGGCGGGTAGGTACCTAAGGGGAGGAAAGACTTACGAATAGCCAGTTGGGGATGCCATGCCGGCGAAAACAAGAGAAAGGGTCGAGAGGATCAACCAGGATGCTGGATATTGACAAAGGAGACCTTTAGAGATATGTAATCCAGGCGGGAAGAGTTGTATTGAATTGAGGGAATAGTGAGAGAGAGGCGTTGCGAGGTGAGAGCCAAATGGGTTGAATCCTCCAAGCCGCCGTCCCAAATAATGCCAGTTCACGTGCTGGGCCGGATTTCCACCTGGACACAATTCACTATGGGGATGGTGACGATGATGATGATGATGCAAGGGGCACGACAAGGATTTTAGTTTTCAAATATTCTCGCCTGACTCCTCCGTACTCAAAAGAGTCTTATGAGGGAGAAAAAGGTTGCCTATTAATTTTTAATTAATCCTGCCTGGCTTCGCGCAATTTTGCTGCGACACGAAATTCACTTTTGGGCAGACACAGCTAGTCAGGTTGAAAAAAATAAAAATAAAAATGGTTGCCTTGAGCACCACGAGAATGAGCGGACGCATTTCGCTCCTCTATCTTAATATCTTCACATAGCTATTAGACTGTGAGAAATAGAGCCATTATGCTACAAAAATTCCAAAACTGGATGGCAGATTTGGATTCGCCGAAATTCTACTCATCAGAAACCGAAGCAAACTTCTCCGACATCTCTTGGAGGATTTTCTCGTACTAGAGTAGGAGCGTAAGCACATATTTATGTAAAGAAATTAAAGAAGTATGAGTTTTACCTTCTGTGTGACTGCTTGCTCGTCGTCGGGAACCTCGAACTTCATGTTTCGGAGAGTAGTCTGGATGTCGGCGGTTGCCTCTCTGACTTTGGTCCAGCTCTGACCTTGTGCGATGGCTTTCTGGCTTTCATCGAAATACTGCATGAACGCTTTCATCATGTATTCGGTCTTCCAAAGAGGGCAGAACTGATCATAATCACTGTAGCCGTTCTGCTGTAAGAAATCGTCCTTGATCAACGCAGCGACATCCAAAGTGATCTTGTCCGGGTCTCCCAGAGCGGATTTTCCCACAAGTTGAACGACTTGGTCTAGCTCTTCGGAGTTACTCAGCAATTCCTTGATCTTATCTCGCAGCCGGGGGAACTCGGGGTGCTCCTTTGCATAGAACTTGTCGAGTATGGCAGTATATTTGCTGTAGGATATCGATGTATTGACAGACGGGAAGTGTTTTCGCTGGGCGAGCTTCTTGTCGAGACCCCAGAACACTTGGACAATATTGAGAGTGCTGGAAGTAACCGGATCCGCGAAATCACCTCCCGGAGGACTGACAGCACCGACGATGCTGACACTTCCCTTCCGCTCTGGGCTACCGAGAGCTAGACTGTTTCCAGCTCGTTCATAGAAAGATGCCAGTTTTGCACCGAGATACGCCGGGAAACCTTGATCTGCTGGCATCTCACCGAGACGACCGGAGATTTCTCGTAACGCTTCCGCCCAGCGGGAGCTAGAGTCGGCCATCATAGCGACATGTTTTCCTTGGTCACGGAAATATTCTGCAACAGTGATACCTGTATAGATGGACGCTTCTCGGGCAGCTACGGGCATGTTAGATGTATTGGCAATTAGGCAAGTACGTTTCATGATGGGTTCTTTTCGTCCCTCGACGGTGATAGAGAGCTAGCAGAGTCAGTATATCCAGGTAGGAAACCCCGCTGTGCCGGGAGAGGGATATACCTCGGGGAAATCCATCAAGACTTCGGCCATCTCATTTCCTCTCTCGCCGCAACCAACGTAAACAATGATGTCGCTATTGGAGAACTTGGAAACACTCTGACTGATGACGGTCTTGCCGCATCCGAAGGCACCAGGAATACAAACTGTTCCTCCTTGTACACTTGGGAATAGAGAATCCAAAACACGCTGGCCGACAATAAAAGGCGATTCCGAAGCAAGTTTTTCGTTGACGGGACGGGGAACTCGAACTGGCCAAACATGCATCATGCCATACTCTGTCTTCTTCCCTTGGAATTCGACTTCCAGGAGCTTCTCCTCGACAGTATAGCTACCAGCTTCGGCAATACGGGTAATAGTGCCTCGAGCACGAGGAGGAAGGAGGATCTTATGGTCATGAAACAAGCTGTTCTCGAACACGGTTCCCCAAATGTCCCCGCCCGTGATATGGTCGCCGACCTTGAAATTAATTGGCTTGAAGTCCCATTTCTTCTTTCGGTCAAGAGCTGGAAGGGATATGCCTCGAGGGATGTAAATGCTATCCGAAACGTCAGAAATAGCTTTGAGCGGACGTTGGATACCATCGTAGATCGTTTCCATCAAACCCGGCCCAAGCTCGACGGACAAGGGTTTCCCCGTGCGAATGACAGGATCCCCGACCTTTACTCCAGCTGGAGCGTGAGGGAAAATCCGTTGTTAGCAGAACAAGTTTCTCCTAGGATCTGAGGAGGGGATATTAGTGTGCACCATACCGGTTTCCTCGTAGACCTGGATTGTAGCTCGATCTCCTTCGAGGCGAATGACTTCTCCGACGATTTGGTCATAGCCAACTTTACACTGATAAAAGGTATTTTCATTAGTACCTGTTAGGGATGGTGTATGGATTTAAGCTACCTACCAGCTCGTTCATAGCACAGCCTATCATACCCTCGGCCACGATAACGGGACCGGAGACTGAGAAGACGGCGCCATGATATGCTGCATCTTCCGGGTGAGTGCCTTTAGAATCTTTGGAAGGCATTGTGTGCTGCGAAAGGGGAAGAGATTCGGGTGGAAGCGAAGGCTGAAGAACGGCGTTGTCGTCGTCTGGCACGGACTTGCGACGACCGACACCAACGGGAAGCTGCTTATTGTTCACTTGGGTGGTACGAGACTGTATTTTGGGCGAGACGGTGGTATCCTGGTGAATCAGATCCAAAATTGAGGGTCGACGTTTGAATGAAGGCCGCCCGAGACCTAGCATGCGATTAACGGAGAGGGATCCTGAGGGAGCTCCGGTCCTAACCCATCCACGCAGTGTTGTGAGGTGCAGCCGTGGGATCAGCGGTCCCACCAACGCCGCCAAGCGTCGAGGGCGGATGACAGGATGAGGTCAGCAGCAACCAGCCACTCGCTATCAAGGCGCGGAGTGGATGGCGGACGGCCTCGCGTGGAGCACAACTCCTCTACGGAGTACGGAGTACATGAGAGTACTTCACTGACGATGGAAAAATGTATCAGAGCAAGCAAAACGGCCGCCAACCAAGCCTGGAGGCGTTGTGAGGGCGGCAATCCGGAGAATTATATATGCAGCTGTCGAGAAACTCCCAGGGACGGGAGACGCGTTTATTTACTCGATACGAAGTATGGAGTACTCCATATCGGTAGGACTACGACTGTTTTCTCAAGGGCTAGCATACTCTATACTCGAAGCAGTATTAATGTGTAGTTAACGAAGTCATGTAGAGTGACAGCGCGACACCCACTTTACGACCGACATTGCTCCCTACGTAGAATACAGTATGTAGGCTCTACGAGCCCGCGCAACTCTCCCGCGCCGTGCTAAAGATTCAAAATTCCATGTCTTCCGCCACTTTCCTCTCCAAATCATCGGAATCAAGCCGACGAAGTTTGATGAAAAAAGATGGGTTTCGCGTCGATCGGTGGTAGTGTAAGACCGATGACACGGTGCGGAAAGATATGCGCAAGCACAGAGGTCTCTCCGCGAGGTCCAAAAATAAGATTAATCAATGTTGTATTCCTTAGAATACTTTCAGAGATTAAACTGAAAAGAACAGATACTACACTTGATCTAAGCCATAATGGCAAAGAGAGCTGGAGAAGAAAAGAGAAAAAAAATCAAAAGACTGGCGGGGGTGGAGGGATATTTATACCCTTGGGGCGGTGAAGCTGCTGGCAAAACTGACTAGCCGAGGACTAGTTTCTGACTGATGATTGGTCACCCTTCCTGGTAACCGGAAAATCTTCATGGAGGAAGTTTCTCCGCGTGACTCGGAGCGCTGAAACCATTTCCCGAAACTCTCTGCCCTGGAGGTAGGTACCCTGTACGGGCTTCAGGCTAAGGAGGTCGCAATAGCAGCAGCTATTTAGCACGGCTATCTTATCCAACCCGACAAGTTCCGTTTGCCACATATCATTCTATCATGGGCGATTTTAAGCATCAAGTGGCGGAACCTTTCGTGCAACATAACGCCAAAACAGTTTCTTCGAACTCAACAATACCCTTTTTCTGCCCGGGATAATGAGCTATCCCGTCAAAATGGGTCTTAACAAGGCGAAGCTGACGAGGGATATACGAGTTAAACCAGTGATTTCCTGAGATCTGGGGAGAGCATCATTCGAACTTGGGCGATTTTGCGTCGACTGTACAGAGCACTCCGGACGGAATGAAATGCCAATTTCTTCTCGCCCTGTCGGGGAAAGGTTGCGTAAAGGCCATGCTGCCTCCTGTCAGACTCTGCGCAAGGTTGCTAAAGCCATGCTTTCTTCCCACCCGAGAAAATACTGAGTGATTACACATGCCCACAGGCAGCCAGCCCAGCCCAGCCCAGCCCCGAGGGGGTTGAACTCTCCTGCTCTGCCTGAAGTTCATCCAAACTGGCCTAGCTTCAAAGTTTCGTTGAATATGACCTCGACTGCGGCGGGACTGTTGGGCAGAAACCCATGAAACAAGCACAGGCTCCTGAGGTATACCGGTCATGCATCCCATTCGGCTTGTCATCCCAGCCAAGTCACAGGAGCAGTGGCGGCATGTGAGGGTGCTGACCAATCACGCCGCCGTCATTCTGGTAACTTACATACAGCGGACCCTGTCGGTGCCAGCCTGCCAGGTCAGCTCTGAGAAGCGCACATGGTACTCCGTTTTACAGTACTGTAATGTTTTCGTCTGAAGCCGGAAGAACCTGCCAGTAGCTAGCTAGTATGTTGTTTCGCTGGGAGAATTGGTACGGAGCACAGCGGAGTGAGAATGCTCGAAGGGGACTCCTACAGGGCTGATAATAGAAATGAGGGGGCCTGACCGACAGCGGCGCTCCCCTTTGTCCGCTTTGTCCGCAGTGTGTCGGTGTGCATGACAAGGCATGAGAGCAAGGCACTCTCGCCCCGGTTGCTTCTGTCGACGGTATGGAGCACTTCTATAGCTACCTGTCATGGAGATAATATGTAGATTGCTTGCCGGAGTGAGATCCGGAGGAGAATTTTGTAATCATTATCATATTTCCTTAAATCTGGAAATTACCATTGCTGGGGTCTGTTCGTCGGAGAGCAACAGCTGCGTCTGGCGCACAGTTTGTTGTTCGGGATTATTAAAAATGCGCCAGTGATTTGTCTCCCTGGCATGCATGAGTAAGTTCGTTAGTCGACGATGGAGTTTTGGTTATTTTACCTGCTCCCCCGGCGGCGCCAGCACAGAGTACATCCACCAGCCAGTCCAGCAACCTCAGAGCTCCATCCGGACCCCAAGACCATCTTTCTCCCACTTGATCAACCCAACATATTCATATTTCCCTCGAGTCCGCTCCATAGCACCTCGCCTCGTGGCCGTATCACTACCTCCCTGTATCTCTGACACCTATCCTATTGGGCTTGTTCCACTGTCGTCATTCGGAGATCTTCTCGTGCCGTATACATCCCTCACCCTCCAGAAGGCAAGACTTTACTCATTCTCTCACACCACTCATCTCCCAAAACGCTCTGCAACACAGAACCAGTTTGCTTTGTGCTTGGTGGTCTGGCCAAAGGCTTCATTGAACGCCTGTAACCTCTACGCCCACCTCCCTCCAGCCAAGGTTTAGTCCTCCAAAGCCCCCCACCCCGGTAAGCCTATTCAGCTGGTTCTTTGGAGGACCAGACTGAAGGGCTCTCCAAAACTTCGACCTGGCAGACGAAGCTTCTCCCAATCAACCTGCCTCAGCTGGACCCGACCGCTCGAACAGTGCCTCAAGCCCTCAGTCAGTATACGCTGCTGCACACTCTCACTCGCCCCATCCACCATTACTCTATCTAACATTCGATCCAGCTCCGCACTCGACGTTTCGACCACCACCAATCCTCCATCTCCACGATACTCTGCTGCAGAGCTCCTGAGCCTTCTCCGTTACCCGCCGGAACCCACCACTCGCCGTAGTCATCTTCGACGTCGCCGGGAACCGTCAACGGAGCGAGCGGATATCCAAGGGGGCACCTCGAGAAGTAGCGGTCTAGGGAACAGCAGAGGTGGGCGTATCCCGCCGGAGGGGAGCTCAGAACAAGCACAAGGCCAAGAGCAGGACGATCGGCCTCTCTCCAAACGTAGACGCCTGGAAAACGACAATATGAAGCCCGATGGAGGAGCGTCAGCATCAAGTACAAATGGCTTTTCTCCTGCGTCAAACGGTACTGGCAGCTCGCCCTTCAGAAAGTCGATTACGTCCAACGCCATTAGCGGACGATCGTCAAATTCCTACTCCCAAGCCCAGCCTCAGACGAATGGCTCCACGGAGCCGTCATTGCCGCGCACCTACTATGGACATGACAGAGAGGAAGTCACCAGAATATTAATCCAGAGTCTATACGATCTAGGGTACTCCGAAGCAGCGGCCACACTCAGTCGCGAGAGTAAATATGAGTTAGAAAGTCCGGCAGTCGCCGCTCTCAGAACCTCCGTGCTAGAAGGACAATGGCTCGAGGCGGAGACCATTCTGTTAAGTTCTTTCTTTGAGGGTGTCGAAAACGTGGCGGATGGAAAGCATGCCGTCGGACAACCGCGACATCAAGGGTTGGTCCTGGCCGAGGGTGCCGACAGGAATGAGATGCTCTTTTCGTTGCGGCAGCAGAAGTTTCTGGAGCTGCTTGAGAACCGGGATCTTGCGGCTGCCCTCATGGTACTCCGGCAGGAACTTACGCCTCTTAATCACGACATTGCTCGACTTCATTCACTTTCAAGGTGCTTATCCTAGTGCAACATACTTTTTGAGATGTTCGATTTCCTAACCGCATATAGTTTATTGATGTGTCCCCCTGAAAATCTCCGGGTCCAGGCTGGCCTTGAAGACTCAGTTATTGACTCAAGACGGAAGCTGCTGGCAGAGTTGTCGAGTGAGTTCTTTCGTGGCCTTTGTCTGTTGAGTGTTTCGAAGGAGCCCGGCTGACCTCAAGGGCGTAGAATCTATTTCCCCCTCTGTTATGATTCCCGGACATCGCCTCGCAACCCTCCTTGACCAAGTTAAACAAAATCAAATCAACCGCTGTTTATATCACAATACCGCCGAACCGCCGTCTCTCTACTCTAACCATATGTGCGACCGTAGCCAGTTTCCAACACAGGTCACGCTGGAACTTAATCAGCACACCAACGAGGTGTGGTATCTGGAGTTCTCCCATGATGGTACGAAATTGGCCACGACGAGTAGCGACCGCTCTGTGATCATATACGACACGAGAACATTCGGCGTCATCCACAAGTTGACAGATCACGGCGGTCCTGTTGCTTTCGCGACGTGGAGTCCCGACGATACCAAGTTAATTAGCTGCTCACAGGACTGTAAGGCTCGATTGTGGGATGTGGAGGTTAGCACCCCTTTTTTTTTTTCTTTTTTTTCCCCCTCTATATTTTCCCAGTTCATCGCTAACCATAAGCACTTAGACTGGTCGTTGTCTCTTGACAATCGACCATCACCGCGAACCTGTCACATCTGCAGCATGGGCTCCGGACAGCGAAAGTTTCGTCACCTGTTCTTTGGATAATAAATCCCAGCTATGCCTATGGAGTGTTCATGGTGATCCGCTATATACTTGGGCTGGTTCCTCCCGTATCCGAGATTGTGCCATATCTCCCGATGGCAGAAGACTCATTGCTATCTCAACGGATAGAAGGATCCATGTGTACAATTTTCCGACTCGGGAGGAGGAATACAGCATGCGTCTCGACCTCGACCTTACGTGCATCAACATTAGCAGCGACTCCAGATACATGCTGGTGAACATGTCTGAAGGCGAAGTACAGCTACTCGATATCGAAACAAAGGACGTTGTTCGTCAGTATTCAGGCCAGAAACAAGGCAACTTTATCATTCGCAGTACGTTTGGTGGAGCCGCAGAGAATTTTGTGGTCAGCGGTAGTGAAGGTTAGTCCCGAGATCATGGGTAAAATAGTCCACAAATCGGATCACTGACGATCAGGGTTAGATTCTCGCATCTATATTTGGCACAAGGAAAATTGCATGCTTGTCGAGACACTTGAAGGTCACGCAAAAGGCTGTGTTAACGCAGTGGCGTGGAACCCAAAGGATCCTGGGGTGTTTGCCTCGGCTGGGGATGATCGAAAAGTCAAGATGTAAGTTGCAAGTCTCGGTCCCTGCGATTTTACTGTACATATACTCAATTCATCCCTCTAGATGGACAAACGGTCATACCACGATCCCCACCACCAAGTCCTACGTCTCATCCAATGGATCCACGCGCTCAAGTGCCGTAGGGCTCACTATCAGTCGCTCATCGAGCACACGCTAGCCCGTTTTACAAGCGCAAGAGGGGTCCTCAAAAGGGATCCCCAAATACTCGGATTCCTAAGTCTACATCCTGGATCACATATGCATATTTTTACGACTCTTCTTTCCACATGCGTGATATCATCGGCGCTCACGGCCTCGGTTAGGGTTTCAAACTTTGCACATACCATATTATCAACACGGAGTTTGTCAACATTCGAAATAAGTGCATAAGAAAAGGGGGGTTCGGCTTCCGGTTTAACTTTCTCCGTAGTCATCTCCCTTTGGTTCATCCCTCATGTCTTTTTTTCTCTTGCTACATCTGTTTGAAGGGTTTGCGGTTAGGCTGCCTTCTGCTGGGTAACTATGGTATCTGAGATGAGATCCTCTTTTGAATGTGGGCGGCGGGATGGAGGTCTCCTTTTTTTTTTTCCTGGGATATGGACAAACGTTGCCAAAACTCTTCTGTTTCCTAAGCTTAGCTATCCTCTTGCGCGCGGCTCTTTTTTCTTGCATACCTCAACCTAAGTGTTTGTAGAGAGTAGCAGACCTAGCTAATGTTTTGAAGCCTTAATATTGTTGCTTCTCCAAGATGCGTTTGGGAGATATGTAAATATTTAACTGCCGGGTTTTGACCTAATGGCCTGGTACTGATGCAAAAGCAACCTTGACGACCTTAGCGTCCGCTCCAATATTGTTCCGTTCATATGTACGGAGTACGAAAGGTAAAAGAATATACGGATACAGGGCTAAGAAAGAAAAGTGTGAGAAATATATTTCATTTCTTCAAATCCAGCCAACCCGGCCTGCGCGTCAAACCGAATAGATCGCCACAGAGTATAGGCAAAAAATTCGTTGTAGACGTACAAAAGCATGGTCGGAAACGCTTGAAACCAGAACATTGAGCCCGCCATAGTAGTGTCAAAAAAAAAGTTCATACAATTCTGTTTTAACAAGGCCTTTAAGATAATATAAGGATAGACTCCGGCCGGCCGGGGAGAAAGAACGACATTCCTGTTTTATGAAAATTAAACGAAGTTAGGAATAATGGCGTAAATATAACCTTTTGAGGACCGAAAACAAAAAGCATTGAAGGCACTGAAGGAAGGCGGAATGCAAAAAGAGCGAGACAACGTACTATTTGCCGGGCACCCCCTGTTCCTCCACGATAATTCTGCTTGACTTTGTCGTCTAGAGCACTGGTATGTATTAAATGACGTGTTTGCTCCAAGGTTAATACGGACTTTCTGCTAAAAAACGCATAAGGCCACTGTGTTGTGACGCTGTTACCCGGAAGTGCGGTCGTCCATTATTAGCTGCCGTTCATTATCATTTTCGTACAGTGTTTTGTCGTGAGGGTTGATCGGCCGAATTAACCCAGGAGATCGGCAACTATAGAAGTTAGGATGAGCAAAGTGCGAGTGGTGGGTGTAGGTATTGGCTTACCGTTCATAGGCATTTCATCAATTTGGGTGGAATAATAGAGTTCGATATCCCTCAGAATCCTGACATCTTCGCTTGTGACAAAGTTGATCGCAACACCTTTGCGTCCAAAGCGTCCGCTTCGACCGATCCTGTGAATATAATTCTCACGGTTGCTGGGTAGATCGTAGTTGATAACCAATGACACCTGTTGCACATCGATACCTCGGGCCCAAACGTCGGTGGATATAAGAACGCGAGAATTTCCCTGTCTGAAGTCTTGCATGATGCTGTCTCGCTCCTTCTGTGGCATTTCTCCATGCATGCTTGAAACTGTGAAGTTTGCTTCTCTCATTTTATCGGTCAGCCAGTCAACCTTGCGGCGAGTATTGCAGAAAATAACTGCCTGTGTGATCGTGAGAGTGTCGTAGAGATCGCAAAGGGTATCAAATTTCCATTCTTCTTTTTCCACTGCAATAAAGTATTGCTTCAAGCCTTCCAAAGTCAATTCGTCACGCTTCACCAAGATGCGAACTGGGTCTGTCATAAACTTTGTGGTCATGGAGAGGACATCGTAAGGTAGAGTAGCAGACAATACGACCACCTGAGTTGCGGGGGGAAGGTATCGGTAAACGTCGTAAATCTGTTCGCGGAACCCGCGCGCCAGGAGATCATCGGCTTCATCGAGAACGAGCATCTTAATGTGACGTGTGCGAAGGTGGCGGCGTCGGATCATATCTGCGACACGACCAGGGGTTCCGGATACGACATGCTGACCATGGTCCAGCTTTCTAATATCATCACCAACGTTGGTTCCTCCAATGCATGCGTGGCATTGCACGTTCATGTAGTCGCCAACAGCCATAATAACGTTCTGGATCTGGGTCGCAAGTTCACGAGTCGGGGAAAGAACCAAAGCTGTCGGAATCAGCAAAAAAAAAAAAGAAAAACCGCCGTGCGATCTATAATGGCCATTACTAACCTTGAGTCTCACGAAGCGCGGTGTCAATAACTTGTAGGATGCTAATTGCAAACGTTGCAGTTTTACCAGTCCCGGATTGCGCCTGTGCTATAGTATCGCGGCCTTTGCAGATCTGGACGATGGCGCGAGACTGGATGGCTGACGGTGACTCAAACCCATATGCATAGATACCCCGTAGGAGGTTCTCCTTCAGATGCATATCATCGAAGGTCGGGGCCACCGTTACCTCCTTCGAGGTCGTGAACTCGATCCTCTCTGCGTTTCGTCAGCTTGGCGCAAGCTCCATACTATGGGGAAACGGGGTTGGGGCTTACCATCTGCGGTTCTATCGAAATTGTCCGCCATCTTTTCTGCTATAGGAGAGGAACTTCTGTTGAGGCTGAGGTAATGCGATAGGTAAAAACAAGACGAATTTTCGGCGAGAAGACAGCGGCGTGATGGGCCAACTGCTCTTCCAACCTTTGAGCTGCGAGGAAGAGAATTTTGGGGCGATTCGAGCTTGTCACGTGACCAGACGCGTTCAGCTTCAAGAGTAACTTTTGGATCGACGGTGGTGCTCTAAGCAGGGCGATGGCGTTGGCTGCCCCATAACTATTTTATTCTTCACTTATCAAGGGATTCTCATAGACCCCGAGCCGTCAAAATGCGTGTGGAAGATCAAAGATTCATTCACGAGGATCTTGAGAGACTTGAGCAAGGCATCAGCGACAGAATATCAGAAGAACCCCGGAATGTGAGTGCTAAAGGGTTGTTATACGGTTGTTATGTGCTGACGACCGAATGCAGATACGGGAGCGCTTAATTAGAGACCATCAGATCGCCGGATTCCTCGATCGGATACAAGGACAATCACAGCGGCTTCTTGATATTTATAACGATGCCGACGGCCTTCGCGCAAAGGAGGTCCAGGCCATATCTGCCGGTGACCCGTTCGAAGAATTCTATAAGCGTTTGGAGGACATAAAAGATTTTCATCGACGATATCCTAATGAATCCGTTGAAAATTTGGAGCGAGCCTACAAAAGACGACACCCTGCGGAAGGTGACCCGTTGGCATCGGAGATTGAGCACATGTTCACGGGGGAGGAGTCGTACGGCCAATTTTTCGACCTAACCATGCTCCATGAGGAATATCTAAATCTTCCTGGAGTTAAAAGACTGACGTATCTCCAATATCTCGACCAGTTTGACCAGTTTACCCAACCACAGCTGCCGATCAAGCGAGAAAGCAAATTAACGGACAAGTATTTCAAATACGTGGGGAATCTCGCTAGCTACTTAGAGGACTTCATAAAACGAACCAAGCCGCTAGAACCGCTCGACCAGCTTTTCGCCGATTTTGATAAGGAGTTCGAGAAACTCTGGGAAGCCAACCAGGTACTTGGTTGGGAAGAGTCAACTGCGACGTCGTCTGCTCCAAAAACTGAAGGGATGGGTGAAGGTATTTGGTGTGCCGATTGCGAAAAGGAATTCAAGAATGAAAATGTCTACAAAAATCACCTCACGGGGAAGAAACATATTCGGGCTGCAGAGGCGCGAAAGGCAAATGGCGCCACTAATGACGAAAGCTCACGACCCAATGGTGTGGGAGCCGCCGTTACTCGTTTGAAGGAGAAGGCGATCGCTGAACGTGAGTATCGGGTTCAGGCGCTTGCAAAGTCCCTGCAAGATGAAAGACAAGCAACACGCGTCAACGTCGAGCGCAAACAGGGAATGACCGAACGAGAACGGCAGATGGAGCTGGAGGCGCTCATGGCCGATACTGGCGATGTGGGAGTGCTTCGACGTGATGAAGAGTCTGAGAGTGATAGCGAAGAAAAGATATACAACCCTCTGAAGCTACCTTTAGCCTGGGACGGAAAGCCCATACCATACTGGCTCTACAAGCTTCATGGTCTAGGGGTGGAGCTGCCTTGTGAAATATGTGGTAATTTCGTCTACATGGGCCGGCGCGCTTTCGACAAACACTTTTCCGAGGCTAGACATATATATGGCCTAAGATGCCTTGGAATCACACAACAAACCAGCTTGTTCAGAGAGATCACCAAGATCGAAGATGCCTTACGCCTCTGGGAAAAGCTCGAACGGGACCGAAAGAAGGAGAAGGATTCCAGAGACAACGTTGTTCAAATGGAGGATGCCGAAGGAAATGTTATGCCAGAACGTATCTATTATGAGTGAGTATCCCATCCGCCTTACCCATTTGCAGAATGGTGTTTTCCGGATAGTGCTAATACATTTACAGTTTACAAAAGCAGGGTATCTTGTAAATGGTTACAGGCTCAGCTAGATTTTCTGGGGCAGATTGGCTGCCGGGCGCTGGGGACCATTTGGAGGTTCAGGCGTTAGTTAACTTCTCTATTTGATCTCCAAGTTTATAAAACATCATTGCTTCTGCATCAAACCTGTTCTGTGTTATGTTCACTTGTTGAATTTGTGTGCTGTTGTTGGCTTTCTCTGCAGTCGCTGCCTTTGTTCCCTCCTGATCAGAACCACGGTAGGTTCCTTGCCTGTGCCGGTTTATTCCCACAGCAGCCTGGAGCCCTTGATAACTATGTCACGTGTTCTGGTGTTGTGTTGGCGGCGCAAAACTCTTGGTCGCTCGCGTCTCCCAATCAAAGCATCAACTCAACCATGATAACACATTTCCTGCCTGATCAGGCTATCCATTAACCCCACTGAGATTTTATGGAGTTGATAATATAAAGAAAACATAATTAAAGGATTGCAAACATTGATTCTACAGAATTTTGTCTTCTCCTTTTCTTTCAGCTCAAGTTCGGGGTCAAACACTGGCCGGTTTCGGTAATTGGGGCAGCCAGGCACCAAGGCTCCGGTAACGCCGGGGTCAATGGTTGCCATCTCTGCACAAGCTTCTTGATTATGGGCTTCAAGTTTTCATATGTCTGTGATCTCCTATCAAGTCTGGATAACAATCGGATTGCGAAGACAACCTCAGAAGCAAGAAAGAAAGATCCGGATGTCTCTACGGTCTCACAGTGGTTTGACAACTACGAGAGGAAAATACACTCCGGGGATACCGATCGTCTTGCTCTTCTCTCTTGTATCTTTCCGGAAAAGCGCCCGGAACGTGTTTTTCGGCTACGAGAGCCATCGTTGACAAAGATCGTTGGACGATGTCTCCTTCTTGGTGCCTCGAGAAAACAGGAACTAGATCGGTGGAGGGAGAAGGGCTGGGGAGACCTGGGGCAATGCGTTGAGTACGTTATGCGGCAGGCCGAAAATTGCCTGGAAGGTCAAGATGAAGTCACCGTTGAAGAAATCGATCTTGCCTTGGCAAAAGTTGCATCTAGATGCCGGTTCTCCGGACCAACAGCCCGTTATCAGTACTCTGCTGTGGGTGTAGACGAAACTCTGTCCCCTATTTTTCGAAGGTTGTCGAGCCGAGATGCGAAATGGTTTACGAGACTGATTCTCAAGGATTTCAATCCCGTCACCATCCCTACCCAATTGATCCTTCGGCATTTCCATTTTCTATTGCCAAAACTACTCTTTTTCCAGAACTCGCTTGAAGGCGCTTTGATGTTTCTAGCCAAAGAGCCCATAAATTCTTTTCCGCCGCGTCCAGAGGCTCACTACGCTGATCTTCTGTCAAAGCTTGCGCTACCCCATCTTAGACCTGAGGTTGGATTTAAGACCGGCAGGGCTGATTTCTTGAAAGCAAGGAGTCTCAAGCATTGCTGTAAAATGGCGGATGGGCGGATAATGGGCGTCGAGAAGAAATATGATGGAGAATATTGCCAAATACACATTGATCTCTCAAAGGCAGACAGTATGCGGATATTTTCAAAAAGTGGGAAAGATTCAACCAGGGACAGGCGAGCCGTCCATAATACGTTGAGAAAATCCCTTCGAATCGGGAAAAATGATTGTCGTTTTTCTACCAGATGCATTGTAGAATGTGAAATTCTAGTGTGGAGCGATCGTGACTCCTCGATTCTTCCGTTTCATAAACTTCGGAAGCATATCACTCGGTCTGGTTCGTTTATTGGAATTGACAATGACTCCCAGTATGTGCTCTCAACGCAAATATTGAAATGCTAGCTGATATTCCTTAGACCCGACGCTTCTGAACACTTGTATCTGGCCTTTTTTGATGTGTTAATGGTTGATGACGATGTGTGTTTGTCTAAGCCCTACCGTCAACGTCGCCAGATTCTCCAAGATATCGTTGACCCAATTGAAGGATACTCAGAGTTAGCCCAACAACAAACGATTAATTTTTCACATCCTGACAGCTACGAGCTTTTAAGGGATGCAGTCGCCATGGCTGCAGCCCTAAGATGGGAAGGTCTCGTTCTCAAAGGAAGTGATGAGCCATATTTCCCACTATTCGAAGAAAATGCAGATGTCAACTTTGGACGTTGGATTAAGCTCAAGAAAGAATACATTCCGGGTCTTGGTGACTCTGTCGACTTTGCACTTATTGGCGCGAGATATGATGCCCAGGATGCTCTCCAATGTCCGAATGTCAAGAACCTTTCCTGGACATCATTCTTCGTTGGATGTCAGGAAGGAGACAACCAAAACTTGAGCGTGAAAACGAGGAACTATCGAGTCATCGACGTGCTTGGTCGCCATAACATTAGCCCAAAGCTCATGCAGACTCTTAACCAGCTCGGCCAGTTCCAGGCCTGCGAACAGGGCTCGGAACCATGTCCATTCTCTATCAGAATAGACCAACCTCAAATCCCAGAGATGGAGGTCTTCTTTCGGATTCCATTCGTGGTAGAACTGGTTGGAAGTGGCTTTGAACGGCCTCATTGCGCGAGGTACTTTACGCTGAGATTCCCTCGGCTACTGAAAATCCACTCGGACCGTGGACTGGATGATGCTGTTTCTTTCGAGGAGCTTCAACAGCTTGCTGAGGCTGCTCGTGCCGTGCCTGTGGAGCAGCTATCGCAAGAAATCGCTATTTGGACCGCGAAGCTAGATGCAAAGGACAGCAAGCTGGAATACATCGTGGATGATTCTGAAATGTCCTCTGCATCTTCCGATTCGCCTGATAGAATTTCTTCTGAGACTTTGAACTTTGCCATGATGGGCCTAAATGAAAGCTTTATCGATAATAGAAATCATATCGATATCCCATCATACAAGTTGGTTTCAGCTCCGGTACCTCCAGTTCAACGACAGGGCCTGAACTTTCCAGCAATTCGGACAATGAATTCTCACTCTCTAGAAATAGAGATACATAAAACATCTACAAATTCTTTACCCTCGATGAATATCTTGCCTGACAATACACAATCCACATCTGCCGTGGAAGATTCTTTTCGTTCTACAAACGCCTCTTCTGGGTTTTTAACCGACCTGAAAGCCTCTTCAAGAAAGACAAATAGACACAATAGCCCGGGAGAAAATATACCTAGCGACCCAGTTACAATCCCAACCTCGCCATTGTCTCCGAACGAACTTGCAAATTTGGAAAATAAACCTCGAGTTTTAAAGGGAAAAATTTCGGAACAGCCAACAAAAACTCAGTCTTGGAACACATTCACTCAGTCTCACTGTGTTTTATCGAAGAAAGCTAGACAAGGAAGTCCGCACGCTGCATTCCAAGAAGACAGCATCCGGGTAAGTGTCGAAGGTAATGGCCTCTTACATAAAGCCCCTATGTTCCTCAGCCCTGGCATTTCGAAAAAGGCTCGTCACTTGGTAGACGTGTGTTTGAAGAAATTAAATCGGTCGTCAACTTTGTCAACTTTGAACTTTTTCGATGAGATAGCAGCATCCAGCATGAAAAATCTTCGAATTAGCTCAAAATCTGCCTCACTTCCGTCCCGCTACGGCATTGTGATTGTCGACCCCAAGAATGGTGATGCAAGTGACGTCGCCTCGGACATCCAGACCATTGGGAATGGGCTTGCTAAGTGCCGACGACAGGGGCGCTTATTGGGTTCGGGAAAGATACTTTTTGTGCACTGGAAAATCCTGCATTTGGCTGTAAGCTGCCGCACCAGGTCCCAAAGGAACTGGGACTCATACGGCAAAGCAATATTTGCTGGCTGTCTCAAATGGGGTTATGGTGTGCCAACTCGGCAACGGCATATGCACAATGCCTCTCTAGAGAGTCGGCAGCAGCAGCAGTCAAAGCGACCTCAAGCGGAAACGGATGTTGTCGTGAGCATGGATTGGAAAGAAATACTGCCTTTAGTGCCGGTGGACCATGGTTAGAACCGGGTTATGTCGGCATTCAAACAGCTTGTTACGATGTTGTGACTAGGCAATGCGGAGGTATAATCCACATCGACACGTTTTACGATGGTTCACAGCTGGAGTACGCATTGGATAGATAAGGGCATACAATGTCGAGTATGGAGCGTGGAGCATGGAGTATGGAGTATGGAGTATGGAGTATGGAGTATGGAGTATGGAGTAAGGATGTGAAGAATGGGAATCATAAGGGTCACTTTTGAAGGAATAACATCATCTTATAATAACACATTTTAATTAGTTCGGGTTGGCTGTGATCCAACATTGTTTGTATGTATAGCATTAGGTTGCCACTGCAATCACCATCAATATAATAAAATAATAATGTCTGATTAACTTCATTTGGAGGATCATGCAATTTATGGGCATATATATAACGCTTGGATGTTTGTCGTCGATAGACAATCGAGAAGTATGTCCATACATCCTTTTTGGTACGCCGTCGCTTAAACCCAGATATAACAACGGGGAATATTCCATACATGCTCCAGAAACTCGATAATAACACCAAACATTCCATTCTACAGGTAAGATTTGCCCATTCTGTCGAGCCTGGTCGAACTTAGCCACGGCCTTCTCTCCTTGCTCTCACATCTCTCATCAAAGCCTTTGCTTCCTCTATCTCCACTCCATCCTGACACAGCTCGTTGGCCAACTGCTCCGCCCGATCTAAATCATTATGCCGCAGCGCCCATCTCGCTAACCATAAACGAGCTTTACTCGTCGCGGCGGTTACTCCAGTGCCGGTCGGCTCTTCGTCCATATCGTCATTATGGTGCGTAAATGCGGACGTCCGTCGAGAGGCGGACATCGCATCATCTTCGGCATCATCGTCATTATCTTCATCATCATTATTGCCGCCCATTTGGCCCGTTTCCTGTTGTAAGGTGAGTTCCATGTATGCAGCCGCTTCTTCTTCGTCACCTAAACGCTCGTAGAGAGTGGCGATTTGGTGCAAGGTTTCTGGATCAAGAATTCGTCGTCCAAAGGGGGTATTCCCTGGGCCTCCAGGAGGAAAAGAAATCCCAGCAGCACCACTATTGGCAAATGAGTTAAGCGTAGAACTGCTACTATCATAATAGGACCCGGCGGCGAGAGCGCGCTTGAGGGCACGGATGCTCTGGTCGGCCCGGCCCATTTTTGCGTAGCATGATCCGACCGCTTGCCACATTTTGGGGTCGTATGGACGGAGTGCAGCGGCTCGTTGGTAGTAGAAAAGAGCATAGAAGGCCATATCGAGAACCTCGTAGGCTTGACCTAAGCCATACCACGCCCGATAGTCCTTCCGATTGACGTCCACGGCTCGTCTATAGGATTCAATGGCCGCGTGCGTGTTTTTCATTTCAATATACTCATGACCCATAAGCGTCCACGCGGAAAGAAAATTTCGATCCAGAGTGAGAGCACGTCGAAAGTACATCACGGCCTTCTCGTGCTCAGATTTTAGAGAGTAGTAGTTCCCGACAACGCAACAGGTTTCCGGGCGAAATTTATCTGTAGCGGTGGCCATCTGTGCTACAAACGCAAGTTGGGGTCGAGCACCCATCACATATAAAATATTAGAGTAATGATCGAGGCCATCTAAACGGTGAGGATGGCTGATGAGAAGTTCTGAAAACAAATGCGAGGCCTCCTCGAAGTCTGTGTCCGACTCCACTTTAGTAATGCGAAGGGCATTCTAAGACGAAATTGCGAAGGAGAACATTACCTTTCGAGTGATAATAAAGCAGGGCTCGCTGAGTTTTGAGGAACGCACTTGAAGGAAATATGCTTTCTAGCTCTGTAAGCGTGTGGTAAGTGGCCTCTGTCGCTTGGTAGAGCTCCTGGCTTGAATAAAGATGGAATATTAGGGTCATTATATTCTGTGGCAATTTTTCAGCCACACGTTTTAACTGCCCGGCAGGAAAGTTAGACAAGGCACAAAGATAACAGGGAGACCAAGTCACATACATCATCTGTATTAGTTAAAAGATCGTTCAATTCTTGCCAGGCTCCCCAGTGGAAGGGATATAAGTGTACACTCCTGATCAGCCATTTCTTCGCATCCTCGTCGTTTTTAGCTTTCAAAAGAATTACACCGTAGAGATATTCCAGCCATCCCTGGCCACGGGATTCGAGGCCTCGTTCACGGCGATCTGAAAACCAGCCTTCGAGCCCTTGGGCTAGAGCATGTAGCTCACGATTCACTGTCATTCCCCCATCCGCTGGACCAAGAACCATTTCTGTTTCTTCATCTTTCCGCTTCTCCCCTGCCAGATACTTGGCATATAAAGCTAGGAAGAGGGACTTTTGGCTTAGCTTAGGGAACGGATTCTTGGATGCAGCTCTTGCTTGATGAGCGCCAAGTGATATAGACTTCTCCTTTCCTTTATGAGATGAGATATTTGGCCTTATTTTTGATGTAGAAGTGGGTGGTCGCGGAGCGAGAGGAATAGAGGACATCGAGGGAGGGAGAAAAATAGCTGCGCAACGGTCATATTCGCGAGTATCAAAGTATGCTTTGGCAAGAATGTATTTGTGAGCCTCTCGAGCCTCTAACGCTGCCTCTTCAGGGTCAGCATTGGTTAGAAATGGGTTCTCGGCGACGGATGGGGAAATATCCATTGGCGAGTCTGGCTCTGTGTCTGCACCATCGCTAAACTCGTCTGCGGGGATCAAGGAATCGAGCATTTCTGCAGCCCTTAAGTATAGCGCTCCAGTTAGTCGTGCAAAAGCTTCAGCAAATGTATCATGGAGCAAAAAACCTAGCATACCATTTTGCGGACTGGTACAAACATCGCTCGGAGCACTTACGAGCGGCATCTTCCAGCCGATACCGCAGCTCTTGGATGTTGTCTTCGGTGAAATTTGCAGCCATTGTGAGAGGTTTAGAAGCCAGATACCGCAAATCCAGCTATATCAACTGCACTGGGACCATCGTCTGCCCGGCCCGTTGAGCACAAGCACGAGGAACGCGGCGGGTTTGAAGTGTCGACAAGCTTGGATGGAACGGGGATTGTGCGACGGGGAAGCTCGTATGCGTTTGCAGGGAGCAGTCGCAGGGCGTAAGCTAACAGCTATAAAAATCACCAGCCTGTCGGCAATAACCCCATCAAACGCAGGTTCACAAGCGATATTCCATTCATGCTCAATTCAGCATCGAGCGATTCTCACGCAGTGTACGGAGTAAGAGCCCGTTGGAAGTCGTCGAGGCAAACATGACAAACACCAGGAACAAACAGTCCGCTCCCCACCAAAAGTGATTTCGTCGCCCCGCCGCCTCTGCGCTCCCGTGAACTCTGCCGTTGCTCCGTCTCGCTGAATTCCACTCGCCGTTTTGCCCAGTGTACTCGTTTCCCCAGCAAGAACAACTAAAGCCATGGCTGCGAAAACATCCAGAGCCGATTTCGAGGCGGTCTTCCCCTCACTCGTGCAGGACCTTACCGAGCATGCGCAGCAATACGGAGTCCCTGCTACAGCTCTAGAATGGTTCCAAAGGGTTTGCAACCCGCCATCTTCGCCAGGTTCGCCCGACAGATAGCTAATTCGGTTTTTGTGTATAGTCCCTCAATGCGAATACACCTGGGGGAAAGCTCAATCGCGGTCTCTCCGTTCCCGACAGCGCCCTCCACCTCCTGAACCAGCCCCTGACAGACAAGCAATTCAAAGACCTATGCACCCTCGGCTGGCTTACGGAGCTCCTACAGGCCTTCTTCCTCGTCTCTGATGATATGATGGATACTTCCATCACCCGCCGTGGTGAACCATGCTGGTACAGGCGCGAAGGCGTGGGCATGATCGCCATCAATGACTCATTCATGCTTGAGTCTTCCATCTATGTCCTCCTCAAGAAGCATTTTCGCTCTCACCCAGCCTACGTCGATTTCATTGAACTATTCCACGAAATCACCCACCAAACCGAGCTTGGCCAGCTGTGCGACCTGCTCACCGCCCCGGAAGATCATGTCGACCTGAACAACTTCAGCATGAACAAGTTCACCTTCATCGTCATCTACAAGACCGCCTATTACAGCTTCTACCTCCCTGTTGCACTCGCACTCCACTACCTGCAGCTTGCCACCCCAAAGAACCTCAAGCAGGCCCATGACATTCTCATCCCGCTGGGTGAATACTTCCAGGCCCAAGACGACTTCCTCGACGTCTTCGGCAAACCAGAGCAAATCGGTAAAATCGGAACCGATATCCAGGACAACAAGTGCTCATGGGTTATCAATCAAGCCCTCCTTCGCTGCTCCCCTGAACAGCGCAAGGTCCTTGATGAGTCCTACGGCAGAAAGGACAAGGCACTCGAAGCTAAGGTCAAGGTCGTCTTCAATGAATTGGATATGATCAAGGTCTACCGTGACTTTGAAGAAGACCAGGTGACGAAGATCAGAGGACTCATTGCTGCACTCGATGAATCCGAGGGATTGAAGAAGGGAGTGTTTGAAAGCTTCCTGGCAAAGATTTACAAGCGCGATAAATAGGCGGCCAAGCTCTCCCCCCCTTCCGTCTTCTATTGCATTCATTTTATTATCCTAATATTTGTTTCTTAAAAAGAGCAAAGAAGGAACGACTCTGATTAATTCCGTGCATGCGCGTCCAAAGCATAGTGAGAAATTATGTATATATTCCTCGGTCACCATAGGTAGGGTATTGCCCCCAAGATATTCTCATCGTCTGATCGTGAACAATGGACTTAAGATGTTGTACCTTATGTCGACAAATATTCCACAGATACCCTGATAGAATACAAATGCAGTGATGTCACCAAAGTGGTATTTCTGCTGAATAGCAACCCCCAGCCTTGTCACTAATTTTAGAGTACACCAAGCAAAAGCAGGAACAAGATAGAATCTGGCACTTACAATAACAATCGCGACACAGGGCTGCAATGATGACTACAAGATGAGAGCTATGGCATAAGACAGCAAAGCTAGAAATCACAAACCACTAATAGTAATGCCATGTCATGATCAAACAAAAGATACAAGCCACCCTTTCCAATTGACAGCTCTGAGCAAGTAGCCACGCAGAAGTAGTCCACTACAGGAAGAAGATAGGCGCAGCTAGCTGCCATTCGGAGCCACATCCCGATCAGGAGAATGGGGAGGTTCGACCTTTTCTTTTGTTCTGGTTCTAAGAGCAATGGGAAATGGGTACTCATCGGCTTCCTCTTCATCACTACTTATCGCAATAGCCGTATTAGCTAGTTCTACACATGCAACACAGCGAACGCATGAATGGAATATGGATAAAAGGGGTGAAGGCTGACGAGGTTGGACATACGGCAGCTTCCAAGATACATAATCATCTGTGCTCAGCCCTTCTCGTCCTTCCTGCAGTGATGCAAAATCACCCGGTGTCATCATTCCCGAGCGATCACGCGGAGATCCAGGGATGGAGAGCGGGCGCGATATCTTTTGCTCTGTTCCGCCGATAATATCACGGAAGTCTTCTTCTGGGTCGAAAGACATCGGGTATGCTATTAAGACGGGTTAATTGGCTCGTACGCTGATATTTCGAACAAAAAGCATTAAACTCTTACCCCGTCGCAGAGCCAGCTGCCTCGCCTTCACATACTCCAATCCCATTCTCTTCCAGTCCAGTAGATCGCTTAGTCTCTCAGTTCTGTTTCTCTGGTTGATACGCTGTCTTCTGCTCTTACTCGCAAACTCAAACATGTACTGGGTGAGCTGATTAACCGAATCGTCCACACCTTTTAAACGGCGATCCACAATATAGATTCCATAATCAGAGGAATTTTCAATAAGCTCCTCCATATAGCACCCAAAACCTGAGAGATTGGTAGTGATGCTTGGGACGCCCATTACCGTACACTCGGCCGGAGTATACCCCCAGGGCTCGTAGTACGAAGGGAACACTCCGAGATTCGTGCCACGAACAAAGTCGTCATAGTCCAAAGGAAGCACTGGATTCGAGGAGTTCAGGAACTCGGGGTGAAATACTATTTTCACGCGATCCGTTGAATAGTTAAACAGCTGCACCCTACGGAGCTGGTTTAGAATTGGGTCCTCGGAGTCATTTAGCATGTTATGGGTCACAATTGGGGGCAAGCTATGACGCTTCATAGCAAAGAGCCGGCGACGGATGAGGACCTTATCTTGAGCGGTGATGAGATCCTTCTCGTCTGGCATGTTGTCACCTTCACGCCAGCTTAAACACCGCTCAAACAGGCGCTTCCCGATTCCCTTCTCCACCATTTCTAGTGTATCTCGTAGTGATTTAACAACCGCCTGACCTTTTAGAGCCTCAACAGTAAGAGACGATGTTTGAGCGGGCATAATGATAAATGCGACGATGGTAGTAGTCGATCCAGTTTCCTTTAAACGGTGGTTAAGACGCGCCAGCGATTCGATAAACATATCCACCCCCTTGTTTCTATACTCATAGCGGCCAGCGATGAAGAAGTAGAGTGTGTTTTCGAGGTCAAAGTCGTTATGGCCATAGAAATGACCTCGTACAAAGTCATGGATCTTCTCTTTAGAATGCGAATGGAGATTCTGGAATTCGTGGACGGCTGAAAACTTCTTCACGTTTAGACCGTTTGGCAATACGCCATCAGGCTTTCGTTTGAGCAAATGCTCGCTTTCATATGCAGTAATGTGGGAAACGGTAGTGAAGACATCTGCTGAATGGGCCGCGGCCCGTTCGATGCAGTATCGGTGGTATATTCCACGCTTTCCAGCCTCCTCGTCGACATCAAAGATTTGCAGATTATTATAGAAGTCAACAGAGCCAGCGCAAAGGTATCTTCCGAGAAGGGTGGCATGCGTGGTGAATATTGTCGTTAGATCCATGCGCCTTTTCTTGGTCAGGGGGAGAGCGACGCCAGCAAGCCACTCGTGAAAGTGAGCGATTACCGCAAGATCCATATCTCTGCATATATACTTGACCGGGGAATCAGCTTCCTGTGGATGTATAAACGGGAGGGACGATAGAAAGGCTCAAATACCTCGCCTAGGAACCACGCGACCAAGTATCCGAAAACAATGGCTTCGTTGGTTTCGCTATCCCCTGGAGGAGATGGAATGCCGGCGGCATTCCAGAGATCGCCTTTCCATTCATCTAGGAACTGATAACCGGCACCGGTGTCAATCAAAATAACTCGTGGAGCGCCTTCAATTAGCCATCTTCCATATTCGATATCAATGCCTCTTTCTTTCATCGCATCTATCGCCCCAGCGAGGTGCGGATTGGTGGGCGTAAGTGACTCAACTTCGACAACGGCCTGCAAGGAAATCAACAGTCAGCGCCGCGAGTTAAGATGAAGATATGCAATTGTACCGAAGCTCTATTCCAGGGCCCAATCAACGTATATCGGTCACCATATTCAGCGGTGGTTACTTGGGCTTTGGACTTGAGGACCGAGTAAATGCCACCCACTTCCAGGCGCAGTCAAAGTCAGCAGCTATAGTAGCCATAAAAGAGAATTCCAACGAATCATTGAGAATAAAGATTGGACAAGTGACAGACCTCTGTTCGCAACTTCAGTCGAGATCTCGAAGAGAATGTGGCTCTTGACATCGCGTTTTAGCACCGGCGGCTGACGTGCACCTTGATTTCCAGCCATGACGTCGGTTTCAGTTGGCAGCCGCAACGACCGCAAATAGAGAGTAGGGGACTCTAGAGAAGTGGAATCTGGAGAAGAAAGCAAAGAATACGAGTCTCTGAGGAGACAGATAGTATAAGGGATGGAAGCAAAGGTGGAGCAACTTATACAGCCACCTGGTTATATTGTCCTTGGAAGTATGTCTAACTTGTCGTCACACATGGCTATGGTCAGGGTTACCTCACACTAAATCACTAGTCGAGGCCCCGTTTGAACACGCAAAGCCTGGCAGGCTATGGACATCGTTTGGCCGTTAGAGGACCCTACGGGGAATACGTCTGGCCCGAGCCAAACTGTGCTGGTACGAATGCATTCAACAACTGAGGTGGGAGTAGCAAGCGCTGAGATGAGTATTCAGAATGCTTCGACGGGCTTTGAAACCAGTCCACGATCGTTGTGAGGGGTTGAAGCTTTGGCCCTGGCCACAGTGGTACAAGGTTCATCCAGGATCCATCGCACCACCCATCTCGCCAGAGACTTGCGCACGGGGTAAAGGCTGGATGAGTCTCGCTCCCACACCACACAAAAGCAACACTTCGAGATAAAGCTCTGACCAGGCCCTGGAAACGGGCAAATCCATGGAGGACGTTTTGTTTTCCTTGTCGACCAGCTGTGCAGGCGATTATTATCCTCTTGAGTAATATGAGGGGGCCAAGGCATCATGGTTTCATGCAAGTCACTCAATCCCGCCACTTCTTGGCTCTTGGGGCCAGTGAGAAATCGCCATGATTAATCCTGTGTTTGCGGAGGATTGAAACTTATACAGAGTAAAATTTTCTTTTTCAGATTGATTACAGAGGCAAATTTTAAAAAGTTTTCAGTACAAATCAGTATACCCTACCTCATCTATCCAGCACATCCGTCACTGAGTATGAGGATAGTGAAGGTTGTTGGCGTAGTCAGTTGCTCCGTATGCACGAAGTACAGAGTGCCTGAACAGGCATTCACAAATATCCGACTGAACCTCGGTGAATATATTTAACTGCTTCTCCACGTAGGGTGGGATTCCTACGTAGCTGCAAATTCAATACTTTCTGGAATCGTGGTTATCCCAGCCTTTACACTTTATAGCTCTCAATGTGACGAGGTCATCGAGTCACAAGCACCCTGAAAGTCTTCGCATCGAGAGGAACCCAGAAATCGGCGAAAGCGTAACCTTCAGAGATTGTGAAAAACGCAGACCTTGAGTTGAGCTCGGCTTGAGGGTCAATTCTCCACACCTCAACTCACCAAACAGTGACACTACTCCGTACCCTGCCCGCCAAGGAATGGAGCTCACACCGTGTCTCGTCGAGCCCCAGTCGCTGGATCAGCCCAAGCCAATGTTTCCGATAGTTAGCCCAGAAAATCATCGAGACCAACCACCGTATGGATCAGCCGGGATCCATAGCTTCCGGCAGGGTTCATGCTGTTAGTCAAGAGAGCGCATGCGGAAGATGTCAGGTGCTGGGTTGATTTCGACAAGATGGGTATTAAGTATTTTATGGTCGCCTTCAAAAGCAGCCTGTCGGCTTCTCGAAATCCCCGGTGCACGATGTTCCGTACTCTTCCTGTGGTCTGCTGCCAAAACCCTGGTTGTGCTTCCGGCCGCGCAGCCCCGTGACCCGCCACCCACCGACCGCCCGCCCAGCGCATCGCCGCCGTAATTGGACGATTCCCGCAGACGAGCCAAGGGGCGGCCCCACACGGGCTCAGGGACTTTCTTTCAACGTCAGTCCATCATCATCGCCCCTTTCAAACCTCCCACTTCCACATCTTCATTCTCTTCGTCGCCATCTCTTTGTCCAGGAGGGGCGTGGGAGCGATGCCTGGGTTCCCTTCAAGACCTTCACTTGCTCTTTGTGCCGTCTGCGGAAATATATCGTCGTTCGTCGCCGGAATCAGCCCTTTTTCGCCCAATCCCTGATCTGCAAGACCTCACCAAAGAAGCCGGCAGTGGCCGTTCCTGCGGTATGAACGAGGGAGTCTTCCCCGTAGCACCAGGCGGGAGTGTGTGCTGCCGCCTGCAACCCACCGTCAATATTTTCCCTAAAGCGTCGTTCGTGGCCGGGAGTTTTCCTTCGCCTTCGACAAGTTTGACCCCGTCTCTGATACCTCCGACCGTGCATATGAATACCAGGGATTAAGGATTTATTTTGTTGTGTTGATATTTCTTGTTGACATTCACTGTTGTTGCTGATCAAACAACCTCGCGGAGCCTGAAAGGGCAGACTCGGCTGTGAGTTTCTTATAAAATATTCATGGCCTTGCTGAAAAGGAGTATGGCCTGGCAAAGTGTCTTTCTTTTCATATGTCTTTGCCCTCTATAACAACAAATGGTTAAATAGAACCATGTTGTGACAAGGGAATCCCCTTTTAGTGTTTTCTCACAACCACCTCGTTGCCTTGAGGAAAAAGAAAACACGAGACTGTTCTTGTGCGAAGATCGAGATTCGGTTCCGGCTGCACAGCAAATTTGATTTGTTGACCGAGTGTTCTTGATGCCAGGTATATAAGAACTTGAAACGGCAAGAACGCCCGTTTAGTTGAAACAAGAAAAAGGGTCTGCCGTCGCCGTGATTCGAACGCAAACCTCGCGAAAGATCGAAACTGGGAACGACGGGGGTTATGCCGTTGCGCCACCAGGCCAATTTAGGAAGTTGACGCGCCTGACTTTCAGCCCGATACCTCACGTGGGCTACCCAGCCGATGAAGACGAACCCTCGCCCTGCGAGCCAAAGACGTCGACAACAGCGTCTACGTCGCCCTGATAGGAGAATCAAGTTGATAAACGGGTTCTACGAGGCCTGTACAGCAACTGACGATAATTTTCGGGGTATTCTGGGGCTCGTTACGTGAGTAAGGGGGGTGAATAGCTTGTAGGCGGTCCGCCATATGTTAAGTTCCTTCGAGTCCTGGTGTCACTCCCCGGCCTGGCCTAGTTGGATAACGCGTGAGATCCAGCTTACAGTACCGAGGTACCGCGGTTACGTTGTAACGCCCCAATGGCAGTATGTGCCTCTAGGTGTCACAGAAAGGGTTGCAGTGTAGAAACCGATCGCTTCTGGTGCTGAGTTTCATAATGACTTGAGCCCAGCTCGTCATGAACTTTTTGTCATTCTGGTTAATATTATCTTTATCTCTTGTTTTTGTATTCTTTATGGCATGGGATGCATTAGGATTGCTGGAAGACTCGAAAACAGAATGCGATATAGTGTACTTCGCCGCGAAGTACCTCGCCATGTACCTCAATTTTGGACGTCGCCGGTACGAATCCCAGCGCTGCTGAAAGTAGGCATTTTCCTGCAACACTGATAGATACTGAATTTCGGCATCATCCTGATCTTTACGACCAGAAAAAAATGATTCTAATCTTAGTATCCTTTGAACTATAGTGTTGCATTCAGAATCAGCCGTTTGCGTTGATGCTGGTAAAATGCTCCCCCTATAATTCGAGTCTACTTTTTCCTGGAATAATTTCCTCCTTTTTCCATCTGTTTAATATTGTCCTGGAGACATAGCAACTCATCCCTTCATAAAATAAGCGATTTCAACTGATGCTAGTGCGTTGGCGGGTGCAGCGCAGGAGCCATAGATTCCTTTCTGCAGGAAGTTCACTGCCAACTTCCCAGGGCGTTTTATCCCACTCCAGATACCATCTGCTTTCGATTTCAACGATATAACCACCAACAATAATCTCTATTATCTCCTCATTCCCCGAGAAATGCTCCTCTTCACTCAGGATTTAAGGGGATGCGATTAGTCGTGCGAATCCTACATTTCCTTCCCGACCGTCCCGCCTACGGAGTTCATGCTTGGTCTGAGCCTCGCATCGCATTCCAAGAGCTTTCGCTAACACATGAATTTGATCCTTTTAGGACCAAACCCTGCGTATGTCGAACCCGTCTAGCTGGTACGAGGCCTAAACCATGGGTTGGAGGCGGAGTGAGAGCCTTGGGTTGTACTATTCCTGCGTTCCAACTTCCCAGCCCCAGTGCATGGATATACATCATCTATATTTTTCTTGAACTATTGGTTTTCAGTTATACAAGAATCAGGGAACTGCCATCGGGTTTGCCTGTCCGTCCTTTATTTGAGGCTTGTTTTGCAGTTCTGCGCTGTAAAGCGCAGAGACCACAGAGGCATTGTCCACGCCCCTCTCTTATCGACTCCTTTTGACCTTTTAAGCACTCGAGTTTCGCTATCGAATTATGTTTTCTCGCTCTTCCTTCCGTCCTATATGATTCACACCTTTGCTAATTTGTATGTATTTCATCCTTCTCTAACAGGTCAGCTCTCATTCGGTATTTAGCTGAGAGCCGAGCCAACTTCCCTACCCGGAAAGCGATGAAACTGCGTACGAAGTTGTCTCGTCTAAAAGGAAGGCTCTGGCGCACTGGTCGCAATGTCAAGCGGTGCTTTATTTATTGCCCGAGGAGAACCAATTCTTCGTCGCTTGAGGACAGGTATCAAGCAGGCGAAGCCGCCCAGACAGAGCCCTATGAAGCGCTCTCTTTCGGGGAAGACAATGCCCTCCCGGTTATAGAGCCGCCATCAGGTTTCCCTTCAGCTACGGATCGTTCTGTCGAGACTTTTCGAAGACTAGACCACACCTACACATGCGAATGCCGGTCACTGCTCCTTGAGAGACTCAGACTAGTCATGGCAAATAGTCTAATACCTGTCCTTGAGGAGTTTAGTTCGTGTTGCTGTGGACAAGATCGGTTTGGTGGCGCTCCCACCGATCGCTCATTGTCAAGCGGGTATGACACGATATCAACACGAACACTCTCTTTGGAGCGCCACGGTGGTATTCGGATCGAACTACGTAACGGAATGTTCGGAGCATCCCTGGCCGCATGTCAGAACGAGTCTCTGTCCTGTTGTGAATGGGGAAGCAGTTCCTCATCCAGCTATCCACGACCCAGAGCTTTATCTGAGCCATTGAATGACAGGGTCTTAGTTGTAAGGCTACCTCGTGGCCGGGCAGTATGCCATAGAACGGCATCTGGGCAGGGCGAGTGTCAGGGCCGCAATCTCTCCGAATGCAGTAACTGTTTTACAGACCAATGGCATCACAGGCCTGCGGAAAGCGTTCCCGCATGGATCAATGACCTTCCAGATTGTCCCATTCCAGGAATAACGGATCCCTCAATACTGCACCGACCGCTGCGACGGAAGAGGAAAATGTCAGATTTATGCCGTCAGGGGAGCTGAGCGAATATATGAAACTAATAAAACTGGGATCTGGCCATGAGGCTCAGGGCCTATTAATGCTCCAGTGCGGGGAATGTACGTTATGCATGATGTGTATGTGAATTATGGGAGATGAGGGAAGGTTAATAGAAAAAAAAAAAAAAAAAAAAAGGATACAGACAGGAACTTATATGTAAGGGAGCTTAAGGGTAGTGACCCAACTTAGGGAGAGAGTAAATGCTACTAGGATAAGTGTCAAAGTCTTTATGGGTGAACATTATGGCTCAGCAAGGAGCACATTCCCCCGATTGTTTATGATTAGAAACAGCATGTAGCAGCACGAAACATTCCTCAGTTTGATTGGTTGAAGTCTATCCTAATGACCTGTTCAAACCTCCGTCAACACTGATTAACCCCCAGCCTTGACGGCGGGTGAGCCCAGCCCGATACAAACTCTCTTCATTATCCCCTGCACAGCGGGTAAGAATCCCATAATCATTTGCCGCTGATCCAAGCATATGCTCCAGGTCGCTTTCCTTTAAAGTGTACAAGGTTAAGGTCAGGTCTACCAGTCGCAGATCTATCCTTGATCCTCTCCGGGACTGATATTAGGATACGGCCGTCGAGAGTTAGCAATCCCACGCAGCAACGAGACAAGATGCAGGGCGCGGTCGTCACTGTACAAAGGCTCGTAATTTCGTGCATTGATGTCGAAGTCGTGAAGGTCTAAAGTCCCTTGATCACCCTCCTCAACTGCCCTTAAGATTTGCCCAACAACCTCTTCTGCATTCGGGGGAACGGTATTGCGACCCATGCTCACGTGAAAGAACCCCTCAAAGGAGGCTTTTGATGCGAGACCCCTATGGGGAATACGGACGAGGTTAACTTCCTCCAGTTCCCTCTCACTGTGGCCCGCGTATGTGGGAAGCAATTCGATGAAGGAAGCTCGGTAAAACGAAGGGTGAAGGATTGCCATCAACAGGGTGAGACTTAGATCAGAGGCAGCAATGTGGTCAGGCAGATAGTCATAAATATCTACCATGCGGTGCAACGCGTTGAGAATCATGGCGGCCCTGCTTTGGTCAATCCTACGATCTCCTTCTAAGACGTAGCCGGGAAAGGCTCGATGCGGCCGGGAGCTCGCGTACCTAACTGAGGCTGGCCTCCCAAGGCGGGAACTTGGGCTGCCATTGATGGCTGGAATGAACGATTTTCGCCCGCACGCTGCATTTGATTTAAAATGGTGGACGCTTTCACCTTTTTGTATGACATGATGTGGTAAAGCGCCTCACAGCGCAAGTCACGGTCACTTCGAGGATCGCCTGTCTCAGCCAGCCGACGACTGAGCTCAATGGCTTCGTTGGTCAATGTGAATTCGTCCAGCGAAGTGAAATTCTCGAACCACTTGGACTGTGTACACTGCACAGCTCGAAGAAGAGAGTGTCCTGAATTTGAGTTGTCCTTATATTTCTCCGCCATCAACTGGGAGACCACTCTAAGGGTTACGAGCGCGCCGTCAATGCTTGTTGCAAGTTGGCGCCAGTTTCCAGTTCGCAGTGATAGTTTTGGCCCTCGAGGAACTTCTAAATACACGTTGTACCTGATAATTTGCCATGCAACGGCGTCGAAGTCAATGCTAAGAGTGGTGCTAGCCAACCTGAGGCTGGCAATAAGAGCTGTTTGAGTTTCCGCTATCGGTGGAGGTGCGGACAGGGCTTGAGATTGCTGATACCAGGAAGGAAGGGACATATAAGGGTATCTTTTGAGGACTGAGGCAATATAACTCCAGTCATATTGTCTCCCTGTTGCCGGATCAATTTCGTTGAACTTCTCGCCACCGAAGCATATATCACAGCGCAGAACGCTCGTCAAGGGCTCAAACACATCGCCAAACTCTTCATACTGAGTGATTTCATGTGGAAAGTCTTGCTTCAGTGCAGTATAATGATCTGCTAGGACTCTCATGCCAAGGCAAACGGATCTCAGAGCTTGATGGTCAAGGTGACACAGCCTGGGCAAGTAAGCCATTTTTTTTAAGAGCCCGGATATATATGTCAGAGCAACTGTAGGTAACTGGCCGGCCTTAGCTATCCAAAGGTTGAAGCATTCAAGCCCCTGAGAAAGGTATTCTTTTTGTGCGCTCTGAAGGCCTTCATGGATTTGCATGCGTTCGAATTCTTCGATCGCAAAGGCTATATCCTCATGCTTGATACCATAGTCACCTGGCGGAGATCTCTGCTCCCACAGAGGAATCGGCATTTTGCAAACCAATATTCTATTCCAAAATATTCAGTTAGATCACCATATATGCATATCCCACCCAATACAAGTCGACCAGGTGAGCAGTTAAAGGGGGAGCTCCAATAACATACTGGATATAAACAATTCAAACGATAGGCTGTTCTTCTTCGTTCAGCTGTACACTCTTGAGGAAGCTATTGATATCAAGAGGTAGGCGGTGTGTGCACGATAAGAAAGGAAGTAAGAAGGATACAGCAGAGAGTGTAAATATAACAGTTCCTGTCAGGCAAACCTCTTCACATAAATTAAACGAGATGTGTGCAGGACCTAGTCAAGGAATCACTGTGATTGACGGCTTCCTCCGGTGCTTCCTGCTAGGGAGAATAGCCCTCGTGTTGCCTGGTGTGCTTTCTGAGAGCATCAAGACCAGAGTATCTCAGGAGAAACATTTTACCGACCAGGGGTATGGATATCAAGCATATAAAAACAGAAGCCATCTGTATAGTGCCACAGGGAGGAAATCGAAACCCATTAATGTACAAATGTTTAATCCCAGAACAGTTGACTGGATGGACGGGGAAATAGGTTCATTTTAAATCATACATAGCTCTAAGAAAGATTGTGCAAGAAGAGCCCGGAAGTACAATGACCAAAACTCCGATCCCGCTTAAACAAAGGGTTGACATATCAGCAGATAAGTATATGCTATGAGAAAAATCATAGCTTATTGTGGAACATCCTAGCAGGATCAGCACTGCAGGTAGGCATCTTCGAACACAAAGACTATCAATAGATTCATAGTCATATGAGGCTGATAATTAACTTAGGTATGATCTTTGCCGGCCTCTGGGTCACCTGTTTCTAGTTCTTGGGGCGGGGAAGAAAGGCTTTTCACAGGCTGAGGAGAAGCATTGTTTGCCGGTGGGCTGACAATTGTTTTGGACTTGACAATTCCAATAAGATGTTCCCCTAGATCAGCGGATCCATCTAACTTGTCTATTTTGGATTTGAAGAATTGGACATCGGATAACATCCTTAGAAACGTTAAAAGTTAGCAAATAATACGTACCGAGAGTTAGGGTACGGGCAGGCTTACCTTTGACGAGCTGTTTCAGAATTTAAAGTAACTGATTGAAACGCTCTGGTCCATTGATCTCGATAGTTCGCGAAAACAGGAGCCATGATCATCATGACAGTCGTGTCCGGTAGATGTTTGGTTAGAACTCGATGTAGCGTCCCAGTTTCCTTGGCAAGGGTCTCCATATATGGGCTGATAGCATTGACATCCCTCTGCGATTCCCAATCTATCTTCTTCATGGAATTGGCATGTACAGCTGCACGAGAGCTCATGATGTCGACTAGCTTCTCATGAATGCCTGACTGGTGCTCCTGGTAGAGTCTTCTGACTTTGTCGAACTCAGCCATAAGAGGAGGAGATGTGCAATGCCTGCGGATAAATTCTCTGACATAGGGGATGAGCGCCATAATAAGGCTCAAGGCTTGGGACGCAAGTGCAAGATGTTTTGTTGTAATATTCTTCAAGCCAGCACTCTTCGTGGCGCCAGCGCCAAGGATTAGCTGCGATAGGCGGGAATTAAATAGTTTGAGGCATTCCAAGAAATGTGAAGCGATATCTGGAATTATGCTCGGTATTCCTGTCATTAAATGCTGGAAATCTTCGATTATTTTTACCATTAAGATTGCAGACTCTGGTAGAATGTATTTTTGCTCATCGATAATGGCGTTCCGGAGCCGATCCTTGCTGGTGACGGATACATCATTGCCATTGATCGGGGATCCATTCGTCGCTGTTTCTGTGCCGTTTGCTTCATCTTCCCATATTCTTGATGTCGCAAGCCATACATCCACCTCTCCAGTGCTTGCCTGGAGGATTCTGTTAAGCAAAACTGTTTCAGAATCACCAAAATCTTTTGCATCCCACTTGTCAGAATCCATAACCTGGACAATCCGATGTTTATGGCGCTCTGAAAAGCTGCCAATGTAGGCTTTAATTTGGTTGTCGACCACTGTCTTCAAAGCTGCACCACTTCTTCCTGAAATCGCCTCACATTCATCAGCGAAGAGTCTGTTAAGGCTAAAGTACCTTAAAAATTGCGGCAAAGTCAGGTTTTCAATCTGCTCAAGCCGCACCTTGAGCACCTTTACCATTTGCGATTGAACGATGTCGACGGCCTGTCCAAGGAGGCTAGACATGTCCAACACTTGCAAGATCTCATCCTTTGCGATTGTGGCAAATTCGCCAGGGCTAGCGGGGTCGTTAAAATTGGGTACAGAAGGGCTTCTAGACGGGGATCGGATTGCATTTGGGTTGGGAGAATGTTCAAGTCCACTCGTGATGTCAAGGAGAACTTTGACTTGAACGCTGAGACGTCTCAATGACTCGCTGATGCCGGTATAAATTTTTGTGAGCATGGAGTGGGCATCTTCTGGATCTAATGCTCGTAAATTACGAGCGAGTATTGATGACTTTTCCTGTTGGGTGAGCTGTCTCCCACCGCGGGTCGATGCAGACATTATCGACTCCGTGTCATCGTCACTCGAACTCGGAAGCTGGTGTCGAATTATACTTTTCATTTCTCGTAAAATGGCATTTTTAAAGGAGGTTGCAGCAGGCATGGTATGGTGAGAACGGCCCAGGCCAGCCAAATCTCTACGTAGCCTCGATCGCAACTCATGGTCCACATGCATATACTTTGGAGTCGAGGGGATCTGGCGATGCGCCCTACGAGACCTCTGGAATGTGTCGCCTAAGCGCAGCAATGTAATCTCAGGTGCTACAGCCTCAACATGTACTCTAAGGTCTTGCAGCAGGGCTTCCAAGAAGCGGCTCTCATAGCCCATTCCAATCCGGTACCGGAGTTGCATTAGATCATCTGATGCACCTTGTAGAGCTTTAATGCCTCGCAGATCAATAAATGAGTCACTGAGCGCATCTGCCCGTGGTTTTATAGTGTTTTCGCCTGCAATCAATCGCTCAACGTCGTCAAGTTCATCAATGGCGTCCTCGATGTCGCCCTTCTCAACCATTTGCTCGCATTGGGAAACGGAATCGATTACCTCTTTTAATTGAATCATTGCATTGGCAAGTTTGGAAACATTCTCTCGGCGTCGACGTAGTTTAACGACTTTAAGCCCTCCCAATGCTATATCGTTATCCAATCTAGCCAAATCGCTGCGTAAGATTTGAATTTTCTTAACAGATGCTTCGGCTTCTGCATGCAACTCCCGCAGCGAGCCAAGGGCGGAGAAAAACGAGGTAGAAGCGGTAGATATAGAAGAGATGAGATGAATCTCGACAGTATCTAGGTACCACGATAACTTTTCCTGTAGTATGGCATTGGTCGCTAGCGCTTTTCTCTTGGTCGGCTGGATTTCTACTGGATTATCGATCGACTCTGACGGTTTGCGAGAGCTGATGACTTCGGACCGTTCGGAGACAATGTCAAACGTCCGCGGATTTTCGAGCTGAAAATTTTCGTCAAAGTATACTTTTGGGATAGTCGATAAAGGGGTAGCGGATGGCCCACGACTTCGGTAATTCAGTGACGAGCCCCTCCTTCCAGGTACATCCCCTGATGCGCTGAGCAGCGAACTGGAGACTGACTGCCGCCTATCCAGCTGCTGAGATAATATGGTATCTAGCTCAGACACTTTCGACGTTTCCGCATGCTTTCCGAACAATTGACCCTCGCCCTTATTCACAGCTTCCTTGGCGCGGCGCAGCGAGTCATATAAAGAACCGATCTGCGAAATATAGGCCTCGAAGGATGTTGATTCCACATGTGGGATATTTGTCAAAGTAACCGGTGGGATATCTCTGGTCGACGGTGGTTTGTACCCGCTAGAGGGGGCAGAGGTATGAGGAAGCAAGCCACTCCTGACGATTGGCGGCTGGAGGAGAGTCGATATAGCTAGAGGCGGAAGGAGTCAGTTCTGCCGGAGAGATACAAGCGCACATGCTTACCATTCTGGCCAGATTCTGCTATCGAGCCATTGTGCAGCGTAAGAATGGAAGCGGCTCCTGAGCTCGCAATCGAACTCGCCGTCGAGCCGCGGCGGGACTCATGTCTCGGCCGGTAAAAAGAACGACCGGGATCGGATTGAAGAAAAGGTAGCTGGGGTAGCGAGGAGGTCGAGGACGGGGAAGTTATGTTTTCCACCGACTTTCGGGAATTCGGAGAGGTCATGTCGCAACCAAAATCGACGATCAGGACGGTCGATTTGTTAGGTGGTCACTGCTCGAGCATGGAGCGGCATGATGTGCATCAAGCTCACTTCACCAAACAGAGGGACAGGCTGAACGCGTACCGGGACAGCTGTCGGTCTAGAAAATCAAACTCCAAGTCGATATGAATTTGCCGCTGTGACCGTTCTCTGGTGCAGTGCCTGGAACTCCATAAACATACGAACACCCGACCTCAACGGGCGAACTGACCAGGACGGGCAACCCCAACAGCCAATCAGCACCCGGTGGCCCTGGCAGCCACAATGGTGCACCGCCTCATCTCGTAGAAATAGTTTATCCGGAACCACGCCAAGAAACCACTTTACGCGCTTCGGGGTGCGACGCGACGCGTCCACCGCTCAACGAGTCGCTATGGATTTCTGCAAGCTTGAGAAGTTCAGATTGCTGTTAGGCGTTTCCCGTCAATCCTCCTAGAGTCAACACCGAAATTCTTTTCATTTGGCTTAACAAAGTGCACTGAATGACGCCGTGATCCCGTTATTTTATGACCCATCATGGATAGAAGAAGCGCTTACTCCCTCAGTGTCCTCCAACCGACAGTTGACGGGCCCGATGAAGCACGCACAGCCATTCAAGCCCAGCTCCGAGAATTTATCCTTGCCTTCCAGCTTGACAATGCCTTCATATACAGGTGAGCAGTTCGTGATCTATGATATAAAGTCGGCCATTTACTGATTTTGGTGCTATAGAGATCAGATTCGACAAAATATCCTTGCCAATAAATATTACTGCTCCGTCGATATCGCCCATCTGATTGCATACAACGAAGAATTGGCGCATAGGCTCACCACAAATCCTTTAGACACAATTCCATTGGTAAGCCACGGTTGCTTTTTAAAGTGGTTCGGTTTTCGTCCTAATCTTGTTGCACGACTCCAGTTCGAAGCCGCCCTAAAAGAGTGCTCCCAGCGAATAGTATACCCATCCCAGAGAGACGTAGAGCTACCAGAACACCAGCTTCTCCTTCATTCCACTGCATCCCATATCACAATCAGAGACCTTCATGCAACCAATGTCTCCCATCTGGTCCGAATACCCGGGATTGTTATTGGTGCATCAACAATATCGTCGAAAGCGACTGTTATCCATATCAAATGCCGCAACTGTGAGACGTCGGAAAATATTGTTGTAGAGGGCGGATTTTCGGGATTGTCATTACCCCGGACATGCAAAAAGGAAAGAAATCAAAATGAGGATAAGTGTCCATTGGACCCATACGTGGTTGTGCATGAGAAATGCCAATTTATCGACCAACAAGTGCTTAAACTCCAAGAGGCTCCAGATCAGGTTCCCGTTGGAGAACTTCCTCGCCATATATTGATATCTGCCGATCGATATCTTGCGAATCGTGTGGTACCTGGTTCTCGGTGTACGGTAATGGGCGTATTCTCTATTTATCAAGCCAAGGGGAAGAAAAATGCAACCAACGGAGCGCCTGCCATTCGAAACCCATATGTTCGGGCCGTGGGGATCACGACTGACATTGACCATACCGCAAAGGGTAGTGCAATCTTTTCCGAAGAAGAAGAGCAAGAATTCCTGGAAATGAGTAGACGGCCAGATCTCTATGAAGTATTTGCGGACTGCATAGCTCCATCGATTTACGGAAATCGAGACATCAAAAAGGCTATAGCATGTCTTCTTATGGGTGGATCGAAGAAAATTTTGCCTGACGGCATGAAGCTTCGAGGAGACATCAACGTTCTCCTTCTTGGTGATCCAGGAACTGCCAAATCGCAGCTGCTCAAATTTGTGGAAAGAGTGGCGCCAATTGCTATATATACATCTGGTAAAGGTTCTTCCGCCGCAGGTCTGACGGCTTCCGTCCAGCGCGATGCGACTACGCGAGAATTCTATCTCGAAGGAGGAGCCATGGTTCTTGCGGATGGAGGGGTCGTATGTATCGATGAATTCGATAAAATGCGAGATGAAGATCGTGTCGCAATCCATGAAGCCATGGAACAGCAAACTATCTCCATTGCTAAAGCTGGGATCACCACAATCTTGAATGCACGAACTTCTGTGCTGGCCGCCGCAAACCCTGTATTTGGACGATACGATGATATGAAAACTCCTGGAGAAAATATCGACTTTCAAACCACAATCTTGTCCAGATTCGATATGATATTCATCGTACGAGATGAACACGAGAGGGGACGTGACAAAAAGATGGCAAAGCATGTCATGGGCATTCACATGGGTGGCAGAGGGATTGAGGAGCAAATTGAAGCTGAGATTCCAGTGGAGAAAATGAAACGGTATATCAGTTATTGTAGATCGTAAGTCGTCCTGCCTAGCACCAAGATCCCTTGATTTCAGCTTGATGCACATGCTAACGATACTGCAAAAATTTTTCAGTCGATGTGCCCCTCGACTCTCACCTGAAGCTGCTGAAAAGCTGTCTTCACATTTTGTCTCGATCCGTAAACAGGTACATAAAGCTGAACTGGACGCCAATGCACGATCATCAATTCCCATCACAGTTCGTCAGCTGGAAGCTATTATACGTATCACAGAATCTCTCGCGAAGCTTAGCCTGTCCGCGGTCGCGACAGAAGCCCACGTCGACGAGGCGGTGCGGCTGTTCCTTGCATCAACCATGGATGCTGCTGTCCACGGCGAGGGCCACGCGAGTAAAGAGCTCATGGCCAAGGTGGGCAAGATCGAAGATGAGTTGAAGCGGAGATTACCTATTGGCTGGAGTACGAGTCTCGCTACGTTACGGCGGGAGTTTGTAGATGGGAGAAACTATAGCGAGCAGGCATTGAACAGGGCGCTGGTGATTCTGCAGCGTAGGGAAACAATACAGTTTCGGTCGGGTGGATCGCAAATCTATCGGCACGGCCCATGAATGCATTCTATGTATGTAATAATGACCGCTTATTTTTGCCGGCGACCATGGGCAACAACGGACTAATGATTTAATGCTTCCGCTCAGCACCATCACTCCCTTCACTCTTTATAGTAAATTCATCATTGCTTAAATGCAGCAGCATGATATCAAAGGCATTGTCATAGTCAGTCCAGAATTCGATGTCGTTTGATACCTCTGCACGAGCTGGTGCGGCGTCGGGGGCTGTCAGCAGACGCATTAAGAACATCTTATGACACATGAGCTTGACTTCCCGTAGACGGAAGACGGGGAAAGCGGCCCACCGGGACGGAGTTGAGGTGATGAACATCCGCTTCGTCGAGCCAGACCCGAGCCCAGCGGTCAAACTCGGCGAATCAGCATCTGTCAAAGAGCACCTGGTGGCAATGCTCAGTTTACGGAGATTTTCAACGCCACAGTGAGCTGGGATAAAGACTTAGCGAGGATATATCAGGGACAGGGGGTTTGCTACGTCAGACAGTGGAGTTATGCTGTTTATTCGTGGTAAATTTCTACACTTCGGGCATCAATCGCTTTGACTTCTTGTTGTCATGGCTTCACATGCAGGCGACTCGACTACCATGAGAAAGTGATACTAACCATTGCGCTTCTGCGCTGGACGAACTAACTCAACCTCAAGGATTCCTGCGGAGCTCCTTCGACTCTTTATTCTTGTTATTTCTTTGTTTCTGATCTTGCCACGCACTTCCACGATATGTTTTGAGATATTGGTGTTTCATCCTACGAACAATTTTCGCTTCAAATCGTCGGACAGTTTCGCCAACGAAGTATTTTGCGCGAATCAAATTGGGAATTAAACCCGACTGTTACACAAGTGTAGCTCTGTGACCAGGACGCTAGATTTAGAGGACGTTCCGTTGACACCACAAGATCGGGAACTGCTATGTTACACCGTGTCGCATGAACTCGAATCCGTCTGGCAATTATTATGGATACTCTGTACCCGTTCATTGTGTCTGATGGGGACATTATCGATAACGGAGGTCCTACTTCAATCCTGTTTGATTCTAACGGTGATATATCTTGATATTGAAACATGCCAACCCCAGTACAGGAGGGTACACAGACGGCAGGCGTTCAAGTCGACAAGTCAGAAGATGGCGTTACGAGGATTGGGATCAACAGACCACAGCGAAGAAACGCCATAGATCAGCTCACGGCAAAGAAGTTGTATGAGGCGTTTGTCGCTTTCGAGAATGACAGCCGGCAGAAAGTATGCGTGTTCTATGGCACGGGGAGAACATTTTCGGCCGGCTTTGACCTCAGCGAACTGACCAGGTGGGATACACCGCCGGGCGGGTCTAGAGACATCGATCGCGGAGGTAATGAACACCTGAGTAACATTACGCGTTCCAAGTTCGATCCCGTTTGCGCCCGCAACGCCGGTCCACTCGGCCCAAGCAGAATGCGGATAAACAAACCAGTGATTTGTGCCACTTCAGGATGCTGCGTTGCGGGGGGGTTGGAGTTGTGTCTTCTCGCGGACATACGGGTTGTGGAAGAGGATGTGGTATTCGGAATATTCTCTAGACGCTTTGGCATTCCGCTACTCGATGGAGGAACGGTCCGTCTGCAGTCTGTCGTCGGGTTAGGTCGGGCATTGGATATAATATTGACGGGAAGGCCGGTAGGGGCTCATGAGGCCCTGCACATGGGTTTAGCGAACCGGGTTGTACCGAAGGGTCAGGCTTTCGGGGAGGCAATGAAGCTTGCGAGGCTACTGGCCTCGTTTCCTCAGGAATGTTTGAATGCAGATCGAGATTCTTGTTACTATTCTGCCTATCGAGCGCAGTCACTGGAGGATGCGCTATCCTATGAATACAACGGTGCTGTGAAGGTCGCCGACCTTGCCATTCGGGAGGGAATCAAGTTTGTCCAACGCAAAGAGAGGCAGGCGAAGCTATGACATGTGTTCGGTGGAACTGCTTCTTGGGGTTTTGAAAGGACTACTTCATTTTCCTAAGATTTTAAGAGCTTTAGAATTTCGGATTGTGTTGCATCTAATAAAGAGTCAGAATCGATGTCTGGCAGCCACTTTGATACCGAATTGCACTGACAAATAATATATGAAGTGCGGAGTACTCAGGAGGCTTCTGTTGCATACTACCAGGGTCTCCTTGGAATCCCAAAGATTTCAATGTTTTGCCTACATACATACTTTTGCGATGCTTCGACAGCCTTGGACACCCTGTGCGAGTGCTGCCATTATTCTACACTGCGTTGGAGGATCGGAGCAGTCTAGCGCAAATAGGCTCCTTGCCGGCCATAGCCCATACATAACTACTGTAGCCCCTGGACGGGCTCTCCGGCAATGGGCGCTGGATGTCACCCTCTGGTGGCGCCGTTCTAGGTGGGGCACGCTGATGTCACCCCGCCGATCAGGGCCCGGAGTGAAAGGCTTCAGAAGCATCGACATTCGGCTTTTTGAAAGGTTTTTAATCGGGAGCAAAAGAAATAATCCTGCACTTTAAGGTGAAAGTTGACTTGTGATTCTTCGACCTTTTGGGATTGTGCTGGTGTATGCAAACCGGTTGACTACTCAGCTGGACACGGGTCGCCGTGGTTTGCTGGTAAAGCACTCTTCAATCCACGGCCTTATCCACCAAAGTTCAGTTGATTTGGCCCGTTACGCCCGCTGGCTGATTTTTTCCTTTTTTTTCCCTTTTTTTTCCTTTTCTTTTTCAAGAGGTAGATTCTTATATATCCCAAATAATGCCAGCCCGGATTCGAGTCATCGGCTCTTTGAATGCCGACATGGTCACAGTGACCCCACGCTTCCCCGGGCCAGGAGAAACTCTGACAGCGACATCCTTCAACACCAGCGCAGGTGGCAAGGGCGCAAACCAGGCCGTGGCCTGTGGCCGCCTTTCCCGCTCACAGCCTAGATCGTCGACCAGTGATACCCAGGATGAGGAGATTTATGTTGAAATGATCGGTGCCGTGGGCCGCCAGGATTCGTATTTCTCTACTCTCTTGAAACCAACTCTAGAACAGTCTGGTGTGGATATTGCGCGGATTAGGGAAGTGGATGGTGTGCATACAGGCATCGCCGTGATTGTTGTTGACAGTTCGGCTGGTGGCGAGAATAGGATTTTGCTCTCTCCAGGTGCCAATTACGCGGGGATGCAGCCTACAGCAGACCTTTTCGACTCAGTACTGTCGCCTCCTCGACCAGATGTGGTGGTGGTGCAGGCAGAGATCCCACTGACGACGGTGGTTGAAGTTCTGAGGCGCGCCGGGCGTCAAAAGGAGCAACTACGCAAAGAAGGTATCAAGGGCGTGGATGGAGCGGTCGAGGTCGTGTTTAACCCCGCTCCGGCTCCAGCGGGCGGCCTACCTACAGACGTATATGCGGCAATTGACCATTTGATCATGAACGAAACGGAATGTGATCTTATGGCGCCGAAGGAGCTGAGGGATATCTCCGAGCCAGAAGAACGCAGGGGCCAGATCGCAAACCATTTCCATAGCTTAGGTGTACGGTATGTCATAGTTACACTGGGCTCGGAGGGAGTATGGTATAGTGCAGCTGATGTGGGCAGCAAGGCCCAAGACGACGTCAAAACGTGGATTCGCTGCATTAATCACATTCCTGCCGCAAAAGTGGAAAAGGTTGTGGACACCACGGGTGCGGGAGACACCTTCGTGGGCGGCTATTCGGTGCAAGTGGCTCGATGGAGAGAGCAGAGACGGTTGCTTGGGAAGGCCAACGAATGCCTTACAGATGATGAGCGGAGAGAACGGTATCACAAAGGAATTGAAGAGGCAATTCGATGGGCGGTCCGGGCTTCGGCCCAGTGTGTTCAGCGGCAAGGAGCCATGGATAGCATTCCATGGAAGGGAGAGATCTGATACTATTTTCAACCACCGATGTAAATAAACATGCCAGATCATGGAAGATATAGAGAATGCTCTATACTAGGAATGGAGAACAAACAAGCATGTGTTGCTTGGTAAGTTAAAGTTACGGGAGTAAAGAAGTGTGCTATGACCAGTGGAGTGCTTGGATAGCCGTCCTCAGCTCAATATTTCCATAAACATTGACCGTGCAAGCCTCTTACCGTCTCATCAAAGGGGCATTTATTTAGTTACATTACCCAAGGTCGCCAGCAGGGGATCCAGGGGTGGACGACACGAAGGGAGCCTTGGCCGTATGGAGGAAAGATACCCCTCGACAGCGCCTAACGGGAACACTCGGCATTACACGACTCCGTAGTGAAGCACCACTGTCCTACGCAGGTCTCGAAAAATCGATGAAACGACCGATTAACTAGCGAGGAGGATGCGAAACGGCGGCGGAGCGGGTTTGAACTCCCGACCTGGGTACAAACCTTTCCGTCGGCAATTCGCCAGCGATCGATGCGCGCGCATAGAAGTGTACGGAGGAGACTTGAGAGAACTATTGCTGAGGCCGGGCGAGACGAGTGACCGGGATATGCATTCAATTCTCAGCAGCCCAGCTGTCATGTCCTTTTTAGCTGGACGGAGTACGGCGTCCTCTGTAACATGATTCGTCGTTCGCTGGCTGAAACTGGACGTGTCGAGCACAGGAGAAGAACTAGTGGCTCTTGCACGTCAATCTGAATCTGGCCAACCCTGTCCTCTTGCCGGTGATTGGTCCTATCTTCAATTTTAGATTAAGTTGACGACTCCATCGCGAGGGTTGGTTATGGAACATCGAGCCTGGGCAGCCTGGAAGGTCGGCGGTCCGGCTCCCTGCGTTCAGCGCGAGTCCACCTCCCTTTCCCCCAAAACTCGCGCGTCGTGCCTGCTCGTCGCCCCCCTCACCCCCGAATCTGCCCCTCCGGCCTGCAACTCCCCAGCGATTCCGCTCACTTCTTCCTGCGGCGTGCGAGCTTTTCGTTCCCGTCGTCCATCGTCTGTTCGTTCTTTGTTCCGTCTCTGGTGCTAGTTGATTCGGATTGACGTTTGCGCTCTGCAATTGTGGCTTGGCCCAGACCAAACGGTTAACCGTCGACGCGTCTTGGGGGTTTCTCGTCCGTGACGCGTAGGAACCGGCAACCCCTCTGCTTTTCAGGTTTGCAATATCTTCAGCTCCCTTTCCTCCGCGATTGCGTTGGATTCACAGATTCTGCGCCTGGGGAGAATTGCAATTGCTTGCTCTCACTGCGTGTTTCCTGTGTCAGATCAGTTCACTGCTCAAGGTAATGCGCGTTCTATTCATCAGTCTCTCGTTGCCAAGGGTTACCGTCTGTAGTCGACTGAACAGAGCATTTGCCTTTCCTCAGCCATCCCTCAGATCTCCCGCCTGCAAAGCGGGGGTGGGGGACCAGTCAACTGTCAAGCTAACGCCCTCTCGTCTATCTTGTTTAGAACCCCATCGTCAGGCATGACGGCAAGAATCCAAACTATGTCTCCGGTCCCAAGGCAACCATTCGCTGTTTTGGGCGAAAGCCGCCTTCGGGCCGTCGAGAGCACCAAAAACCGCCAGAATGGTATGTTTGACAAATCGATCTAGATTGTCGGGAATGCTCACGCAGACACCCAACTTTAGGAACGCATGCGTCTTCCCTCAAACGCTGTTTCGATGCTGCCAATCTTTCTGATTCCGAGAACCTCGACCCGTTGTCTGGGGAATCTCCGACCAAGAAATCAAAAGATCAAATAGACAGTGACACGCTGACGCCAAAAAGCAGATTTCACACTGTGACGACCTCTGTCGATCTGGATATTCCAGACAAGTCACTCGTTAGCACGCAAATCTTACCTCGTGCTCTAACTACGTCAGCTCCTCGACCAACGCCTCTCAGAGCTGCTGCTGGTTGCTCTGCGAGGTCGAGAGTGCCAAAAGCGTTTGCTCGTCGAAGTTCTGGCTTGCGTCGAGTTGACCCGCCATCACGTCTACAGCGCCAGGCCTCCCGTGCTCCTTTCTCTATTTCAGATGCTCTCAATGGGACATTCAGCCTGTCATCCTTTAACCCAGATGGAAAAGTTACGCCCAATGGCGGTGAGAGCCGCCGGAAGGCCTGGGGTTTTGAGATCTATGTGGATAGCGAGCAAGATGAAATGGCGAATTTGATGGAGCATTCAACTTGCGTACTTGATATCAGTGACGACGAGCATAAAGCAGAAAAATATGGTCGGGGAAAGGAAAACATTCCGCCGCCTGACTTCACTCCCGAAACTTCCTCTGCTGGAACCGAATCTCGGGTCGCCCCTACATCTGAGATAGTGGAAATGACAGACAGGCCTCGCTCTCCCCTTGGCGAGTTAGACCCTAAAGAATTCATCCCAGAGGGCGAGGATTCTTCTGCAGTTATAGTGGTGCAAGTCGGTGAGGATGATGAATCCGAGACTTCGTTAAGGCACCCATCATCCTCTGTTCCTGAGATTCCTGTGGCCCACAAAATAAGCCAAACTTCGGAACAGCTTCTACTAAAACAGGCGGTCATCTCCTCCTTTAAAAAGAACACCGCTGCTGCTACTTCTGATGATGAGGCGGAACACTGCGTTGAGGAATCGACTCCATCAGCCGCAAAGGCTGAGATAGCTAACGCTACAGAAAGCGCCGCTAAAAATGATAGTCAACTTAATGACTCTGGCACCACCGAAGTTCCCAGCGCTTCTTAAATCTCTCCACATTTTTACACATCAAGTTGCCTTGCGGATATATCCTGCATTGTATACCTACGGTGGCTGATGATTCCTGGGTTGATATGACCTTGAATATCCCTAGTGCTTTCCTTTAGCTCAATAACTACGCGATATCAAACACTCTTATACGTGCTAAGCTTTTTCGCCCGAACAGTCCGATTGACCCAGTTCTATGTCCCTGCTACCTAAGCCCCCAAACTTCTGCCTAGCGTGTTCTGTTACTACTTAACCTGTTTCACTGCTTTCTCTCTTTGGCTCTCTAACTTGCTGTATGGTTTATGGTTATCGTATGTCAAGCATGAACAGATTTGTTGATGAACGGCAATGCCCCAGTCCCTAGTGATGGAGAGTAATGAGCAACATGGGAATACGATGCTGATGGCTTATGTCTTTTGAACGGTCTGACTTTATGGCTTGCTTTTCAATTTCCGCTACTCATGTGAAGGGATATTTTGCGAATAATCTGCGTTGTCTATCATGGTGTTCGACAGTTGGTGCTTAGTGAGATTCTGCCTTCATTTCGAATTCTGCCGTTTACTCGTTTAAATGGTGCTTGGTATTTGCAGGTTTCCTTTCGTCCATTTTTTACATGTAGGTGTACAGCATTTCCGTGTTGTTTGTCTTTTATGCAGCTGAATAACATATAATACGATTGTGATAGCTACATGAATCAAATGATTCGTAAACTTAGGCATAGAACTTGGGTCTGAAAGTATCATCCAATCTCATTATTCTCCTATTGCCTCGGATTCATCGTCCTCCTCGCCCTCGTCTTCTCGCTCTTCTTCCTCCTCGAGCTGCCTGACTTCTTCTGCTTCCTCTCCCTCTTCACCTTCTTCCTCCTCTTCCTCGTCCTCCCATCTCACCCTCTTCCGGCCGCTTTTACCTACCTCTGTATCCCTGGTCCCTTCACCACGATTTGCATTTCTTCGCCCGGGAGCACTTCTTAGCGTCCCACGAATTTCACTCGCCAACTGTACACACTTACCTCCCACCTCACTCGAATCGACGGCCACCCTCGAGATGTCATCTTCGGTCTCTACATGCGTAGGAAAATTGAACAAGGGCAGGAACTCGGTGTCGTCCGGATAAGCGGCCTTATGTTCGAGCATATGCTGGATCTTGGCACGCATGATGGCGCGCGCCGTGGCTAACAGCACGTTCCCGTACCAACCTGCGGAATAGATGTCGCAGACCGGCTGAGGGGGTGGAGCGTCGGGATTGAGAGGCGACAGTCGCTGGGTGACGGTGGCATCGTGGATGTCGCATATCATCCACGTTTTGCCGTCGCGCGCAAGCGGCGGGTGGCCGGTGAATACGTGCGATGTATTTCCGACGTTTGCATCGCCCAGGACCTGGGAAGGGCGAGGAGCTGTGTAGCGTCGGCCAGAGAGTGGGGTGGTTGTGCTGGTCGATGCCATGTTGCTTGTGAGGGATGGGTCAATTTCGGTTTCTTCCGTGCTGGGAGGGATGCGGAACATTAGTGTTTGGTAGATTCGTGAGTCTGGCGTAGTACGGGGGTCATAGCCGAATTTGAGGATGGCATCCCGCCATGGCCCGGAGCGAAATATATACCCTACGTAGGGAACGGCCGTGCGGAGGGTGTACTTTTGGTCGTTGGTGGTGAGATGGTTGCGAAGACCGCGACGAGTCCAGGCTGGCCTGTCGTCGAAGAGCTTTTGGAGGATACCAATTGTCTTCTTCAGCGCCGCGTCCAATGTGTCGATAGGCGGCAGTTTGTCGTTCGATTCTGTAGGAACAGAGGGTACATCGCATGGCACAAGATGAGTAAAAACTTTGGTTATTTGTTGGGTATTAATAGTCATTGTTTCCCCAGAGGGATTCAATGCTTGTTTTACAGAAGGGTTTTGGCGGTAACTGTGTGCATGTGTCAGCTCGATGATCGTAAGCCAAGTGTCTTGTTATGGTTGCATACGTATACTTGAACGGCATCTCAACCAGGCTGAAGGATGGTGGCGGAACTATATCAACGTTTGATGTAGCGCCTTTGCTCATGTCAAGGTCGAATTCCTTCAGTTTTTCATCTGGGACTAGCATCAGCGGGGCATCGCGGGAGAGGACGAGGAATGGGCCTACTAACATTCAAATGGCAAGATATTCTCACGAAATTTGGTCATAAACGGGCTTGCTGTGGTAGAATATACGAAATCCGGGACACCTGGGTCATCGACATCAGCGTCCACGCCCATATCTGCCGACCAGAGCACTCTACCCCTGAAAACATGCATCCTGTCAATTCGGCCAACGACCTCAACGTCATAACGGCCGGCGTTATCCCTCAGACGACGTAGTAATTGCTTAGCATCTAAGCTCCCTGAATCCGACGACGAAAGGGTCGAGGTAGAACGAGCATCGTCAACATATGGATCCTGAGATCCACGTTTCCGTTTGCGCCCAGTTCTTTTTGGAACTGAGACCCTGAGCAGCATATTATTGGCGGGTTTGGATGTTGAAAATAGCGGTCTGCTCATGCCATCGTCTGGATTCAGGGATAAGGTCGCAGCAGCATGGGGTCGTGTTGGGTCCAGGATCTGGAAGATCCAAGAGATAAGTACACGTTCCTGCCAAATCTGTGAGGCCATGAGGTTACCTCTGCTATCCCAGGGCCGCGTTGAAGAGTTCCAATGGCCCGATCAACGTTTTTCACCACGCATGGATGTTCCACACTGACGATTTCTCGAGCGGGTATAGTGTACCACGGCGATGTGGTTGAACCTTTCCAGGTGGCCATGATTCCTGCAGTTTAGGAATACTGAGAAGAATGGAATAGGTCACTTCAAAGTAACGAAATAAGAAGAATGTTGAACAGCTTGTCCAGGGGGCCTCAAGAGCGGGTGGGAACCAGATTTATATGTGGTAGTTATTTTTGTTTTATTTTGCTGGTGTATGGTATTCACCAATAACTAGTTAATAATTGACTAATTGACTGGTACTCCATATACACCATAGGTTATATTCACAGGTGCTGAACTTCGAGATCGCCACCCTGCGTCCAGCGCATCTGTGCTCGCTTGGGTTGAGTGTCGGGATAAGAGTTGCCAGAAAATACAGAAAAGCCAGGAAGGTAACTTAACTTTACCTGGCGCGCTAGTTAGTTAACTAACAAACCAACAACCTGATTAGATAATGAAACATCAAACACTAACCTAAAGTTATATTAGTGAGTTCGACCTCCGTCTAACCAAAGCTCCCCCTTCTGGTGTGCATCAGCCGTCAGACGGATATTATGGAACCCGCGAGCTGCAAATTCCAAGCTCTGCACTTCTGCCTTCGACAACTTGAGATTCAATATTTGTGGTGCTCTGCTGATAACTGTTCTTTGCATTCCTGTGCTCGGTGACACGGATCCTCGGGTCGACTGTGGTAATTTATTTTAATATTGCTGCTCCACGTCCTCCTCCACCGCTTTTGGCTGGGTTGGAGCCTCCCCGCCTCCTGTCTCCGTCTCCCAGCGCACCACTCTAGTGTGAAGTAGCTCGTGTGAAAAGGAAAACACCCGGCGAAAGTTATACGTCTCAATTGCCATTCTCACAGTCTAGTCGAGGTATGTTTTGTTGTTCCGCTCGAGCCCTGCCGTCGACTGTTTACCGTTCGTCTCTACATATGTGGTTGTCGTTCTGCTGCCCGAGTGGCCGGTGACTTCACACCTCGATTCCACAAACACCGTCTACTTCCTTTCACGCTCCACCTCTCTGCTATTCAAACAATTCCGCTCGAGCCTATGTTTACGTGGTTGTCTCGACTGCTTCTATGAATTTTTTTTTTTTTTTTTTTGGGATTCTTTGTTATAACCAGAGTCTCAGCGTCGTTGGAACAGGTTCACCCTCGTAAACAGAGTACCCCGTCAGTGCTCTGTGCGCCCGTGAAGCCGACTCGCCGTCCCCCCCCCTCCTCTCCGGGCATCAGAGATATTGTGGCGGATAGGTACATCGTCTGTTACATACCTTACATGTGGACAGAGGACTGCTAGTCAAAATGAAGGGCTTCAGGCAGAGAGTGGTATGCCGATTCCCCGGACCCCGGCTCACGGGCCCTATCCACCAGGCATTGTTTCCGGAGCATTAGGGATGGACTTGAATAACAGTAATAGCATGAGCAGCTTTCGCGCGCGAAGGACTCGAACAAGTCCTCGAAGAAGAAAGACTCCTCATCCTCTTCCACACCTGCCACAGCTCCCGCGTCCACGCCTTCCGGCCAAGGCCCATCACCCACAAACTCGGGCCATGGCACCCCGAACTCATCTACCACCGCGTTAAATGAGACAAAGGGAAAGGCTACCGCGCCCACCGACAATGCAGGACACCCCCAGATGACCATTCACCATAACGCACACGTTGTGCCGAATCCCGTGCCCGCTCCCCAGCATTACCCTCCTCAGCAACCCCACGCCGGAATGCACCCCGGCCAAATGTCGGCAAATGGACCAGGGACTCCTTCTCGACAAGTCCAACAAATTGCCCCAAGCGTGATCATCAGCCCCAGCGCTCCGGTATGTCCAAACTGTGCCGTTGAAAACACCGCCCTTCCACTCTTTCACTGTTCGCGCTTCAGACCCCTTAGATAATGCCCATGTCCAGTCTTCTCCTTTGGCCCTGAGATACATTCCTCAACCATTCCCCAAAGTGTTTTCAAGGCGGAATTCTAGCCATACCCCACCTTTATAGTCTCCTTCTCTTTGTTCTTCACCGTCCGTTGTCCACAGGGTGTCCATTTGTGTGAACTAAGGATATAATTGGGTGGAAATTGTCTTATCGCTCCGCCCGTTAATTCCCTTGACATGGCACCCACCTCATCTTCTCTAGCAATGGGCTATACCAAGTCAATCCCGTCCTTCAGATTTCCTCCGTTTCCTCCTTTACACTCCTTTGTTTGATATCTTTTCTCCTCCTGGATTCCTCCATAGATCCGCCCGCTAGCCTCATGTGATGGTTGATTATCCACCTCGCAATATCTTTGATTTATCGGCCTAAAGTGAGCTTTCATCGCTTCACTTTTGCTTCACTTTCTATGACAATTCTCACGTGCCTATCCGTCTCAAGTGGATCTTTGCACCTCCGCTAAGTTTCATCCTTGCCTCTTCCTCTGCTATCTTTATGTCCTATACACACGCTCTCTCTCTCGTCTTATGTTTCTTTAATCTCCAGTTGATCACTGATAGCATGTGTCTATCCGTCTTAACTCTTCTCTTTTCTCGTCTCGATATTTTCTCTGTTCATCATTTTTTGTCTGTCAACCCATTCTCTTGTTTCAAAATCTGCATCTTGACTGCTTTCGAAATATCTCCACCAGAGGAGCTTTTGGAGGCTTTTTCGAAGCTGACAATGGATCCGTCGTCACAGCATATCCCACCTCCTGGAGCTGCCGAAACAATGCCCGGGGACCTTCAACCCCCAAAGATTGGCCAGAAATCGCATGCCTTCGATCGACTGCACACGACTCCCAGGGACGTCCCTGAGGGGATTCGAACTCCAAAACGACAACATTCTTCCCGCTTTGATATTTCAGACCAGCGTCAGAGGGACCTAGAAAAGTTGCCTGGATTTCATGAAGTGCCACCGAACCGTCGTCAAGACCTCTTCATGCAAAAGATCGAGCAATGCAACATTATATTTGACTTCAATGATCCCACCGGTGACATGAAATCAAAAGAAATCAAACGACTTGCTTTGCATGAGCTGCTCGATTATGTTGCAAACAACCGCTCTGTTATCACCGATCCTATGTACCCAAAAGTCGTAGAAATGTTTGCCAAGAACCTATTTCGACCAATTCCTCCCCCAGTGAACCCCCAGGGGGATACTTTCGATCCCGAAGAAGATGAACCAGTTCTAGAAGTTGCCTGGCCGCATATTCAAGTTGTCTACGAATTTTTCCTAAGATTTATTGAGAGCCAAGATTTTAACACGAACGTTGCTAAAGCTTATATTGACCAGCATTTTGTTTTACAGGTGGGTATTAACCCGCGTGATATGCTGTCTAAGAAAACTTGGAGATGATTCTAACATGGCTCTAGCTCCTTGAATTATTCGACTCGGAAGATCCTCGGGAACGCGATTTCCTTAAAACCACCTTACACCGTATTTATGGAAAGTTTTTGAATCTTCGCTCATACATTCGCAAGTCTATCGGGAACGTGTTCTTTCAGTTTATGTATGAGACCGAGCGTTTTAATGGCATCGCAGAGCTTTTGGAAATTCTGGGATCCATTATTAATGGATTTGCTCTTCCACTCAAACCGGAGCACAAGACTTTTCTTACACGGGCTTTAATCCCGCTTCATAAAGTCAAGAGTTTGAGCATGTACCATCCTCAGTTAGCCTATTGCATCGTTCAATTCCTTGAGAAAGACTCGACTTTGACCGAAGAGGTGACTATCCTTCTCGAGATTTTGTTTTCCGGTCTAACTATCCGAATAGGTTGTTTTGGGACTTCTCCGTTTCTGGCCAAAGACCAACAGTACCAAGGAAGTTATGTTCCTTAATGAAGTCGAGGACATATTTGAGGTGATGGATCCGAGAGAATTTGCCAAGGTTCAGGAGCCTCTTTTCCATCAGTTGGCGAAATCGGTTTCTAGTCCGCACTTCCAGGTATGGACGTAGCCACCATGCTCTGTTTTCTCTTGCTGACTTTCCAGGTTGCTGAACGAGCTCTCTACTTCTGGAATAACGAATACTTCTGTAACCTCGTTGGCGATAACGTGGAAACGATACTTCCGATCATGTTCCCGTCACTCTATGAAAATTCGCAAGGCCACTGGAACAGGTTTGATCCCCAGCTCTGTTCTTTTGCTTCGTAACACACTCACAAGTCATAGGACTATTCATAGTATGGTCTACACTGCGATGAAAATGTTCATGGAAATTAATCCGCAGCTTTTCGATGACTGCTCCCACGAATACCGTGAACTTCAAGAGAGCGCACCAGCCCGTGAGCAGAGTAGAAAGGCGAAATGGGAAAAGCTGGAAGAGTTAGTGAAGGCTCAAAAGAACAAAGACCACGCTACTTTGCGTTCGAATAAGCCATTCGCAAAACTTCCTAGTCATCCAGAAGACCCGGAACTGATCGCTCAGGATAATCGGCAGCGACTTAATGCGTTGAAATTGCAAGATGAGGCAGAAACGACTAAGGACTCCAACCAGCACCGGTTGCCAGAGCGAGAGGGACAGCATTCGGTTAGTGGCTCACACGTTGGTTGATACATTCCCAGCCGTATCTCTCTTTCCCAATCTCCGCTTGAATACCTCTATTATCGTTTGAAAGAGCGCGTTATTGATGTCTTTAGCCGCTATGATTCTAACGTTTACATACGTTTGATTCAGAGGCGCCGGCGTGGATCGTTCGATGATTCTCGGGGTCGACGGGTTGGAACCAGCACTGGACACAGAAGACGTGGCGAACGACGAAGGTCTGTTGGGAGCGGCAGCGGGCCTTCGTCGGTCTCAGCAGTTACCCGTAGTAACTCCACCAGCAACGTCATGCGAACGATTTGATACCACTGTTCTTTGATGACACTGAAAACCCTTTGCTGACCTGTACAATGATGACATTTGGCATGAGCAAGCTGCAACGACCCTTGTGATTTGTTTTACCCCATTTCCCCATTTCCCCATGCACCGGCTACCTGCCTTTCATTTCTTTTCTCTCTTTTCTCTTTTTTCCTTTTTTTTTTTTTTTCCCCCTTCCTGCTTTTGCGTGCCGTTCAGTTTAATAATCCCTGGTTTCTTGTGTACATGGGACTTCTTTTTGATTCCTTAATTTTATTTTCTTCTGCCCACCATGACTATGGAAATAGGACTGCTTGGACCGTTCTAGATTGCGTCAGGTTAGGGAAAAATTGGTGTGGACGGCGTTGCCATTGTTCCTTGGTTTGGGTCAGTTTTAGGACCCATTTGATTTTATTTACAGATACCTTCTGCAAATGGATTGATGTTGCAATTTCTCAGCGGCTTTCAGGTAAAGGATCACGGCCACCATCATCCGTCCTACTCCGGAGTGATTACGTCCAGACTTTGGATGTGGACGCATGACAGTTAAACGCGCGGTTGAGTTTTAGCGCGGCATTCGGCGAATAATTTTCCCATTCCGACCCTAGTGGAAGTACGCCATTCCTATTTAGGACTAGGGAATTTTACAGGGTCTCATCGATTCCCCAGCTCCTCCAAAGGCCTCTCTCCCCCCAAAAGGTTCTCCTCCGCCGCGTTCGAGAGGGCGGCATTCAACACTAGAGAGGACTCTCCACCCACCAGCTAAATTTAAGACTCTTCCATGCATTGACAAATATCACGTACCTTACCAAACCCTTTCTTTCCCTCCATCACGCGTCAAACTTATTATCTCTTGCCCTCTATCCGCCGACCTCAGACCGATACCATCACTTTGATGCGAAGTGACGGCCAGCTTAAGATCGTCCCTGGCCTCCTCCCAACAAGCCGGCCTAAGGGCCCGGCAATAAAATTGGTTGATCCAAAACGGCGGGCATGCGATAAAATCGTTTCTTCGCCGAACCGCAGAAATGGAGCGTAATATCGACATTTATGCCGCGAAGCTTGCGGACCCTGCTATAGGTATGTGAGCTCGGTGGTGAACTTCCTTTTTCTTTTCCTTTTTTTTCTTTTTCTTTTTCCTTTTTTTGCCCTTGCTTGAATCTACCGCGCCAAGATGCTGACTCCTGCTCCGTCCGGCCTCTAGAATCCAAATTCAAAACCAATGTAGCAGTTGAACTGCGCGACTCGTTAGAGCAACTATGTTCTCCGCCAAGCTATGCCACCTTCCTCACAAAGCTATGGCCGGTTTTCAAGAAGATATTGAAGGGCGAGCCCGTGTTTGTCAGTATGTCGTGGGAACAGGTAAGCCGATTGTTGAGAATCCGGGTTGGGGAGTTTCAGGCTCTAATGCTTTCCCACTTCTTAGAAACTCCGGAATTGTATTCTGGAAATCATACATCGGCTGCCGTTGGACCTTCCGGATGTCCAGCCCTATGCGGGAGATATGGTGGACCTCTTGATGGAGCTCGTTAGAGTTGAAAATGAGGAAAACGCGGTTCTGTGCATGAAAACAATTATGGACCTTGAGCGACGGCAGGTTGGCGCAACGCAGAGCAGAGTGCAACCATTCCTTGAACTTATACGGGATATGTTTGAAGGCATGTCGCAGGTCGTGAAGGATACCTTTGATACCCCTGTTCAGGGTTCAACGCCAGGCATGCTTCCCTCAACGCCCGGTGGTCCTCAGAATTTCCAATCGCCCAGACCCAGCTCACCCGCTACATCTGTTTCGGACCTTGCTCCTGATCAACAAGGAAACCAGCAGCTATTGAGAGGCATGCAATCCTTTAAAGTTCTTTCCGAATGTCCGATCATCGTGGTCTCTATATTCCAAGTACACCGTGCCTTGGCTCCTCAGCATGTTAAGGTGTTTGTTCCTCTCATAAAAGGCATTTTGCTGCTCCAAGCGAAGCCACAGGAGAAAGCACATGTCGAAGCTGCCGCGCAAGGAAGAATATTCACTGGCATTTGCAAAGAGATTAAAAACCGAGCGGCTTTCGGAGAATTTATTACCGCCCAGGTCAAAACAATGAGCTTTTTAGCTTATTTACTTCGGCAATACTCCAGTCATTTGCAAGACTTCCTCCCATCTTTGCCGGGCGTGGTAGTAAGACTGCTTCAAGATTGTCCCAGAGAGAAATCAAGTGCTCGAAAGGAGTTGCTCGTTGCTATTCGGCACATCATTAATTTTAATTATCGCAAGATCTTCTTAATGAAATTGGATGAGCTCCTTGATGAGAGAACTTTGATCGGTGATGGCCTTACGGTTTATGAAGCTCAGCGACCTCTGGCATACAGTATGCTCGCAGATCTAATTCATCACGTCAGGGAATCGCTTAACCGTGATCAAATTCGTCGAACCCTTGCAGTTTACACGAAGAATCTGCATGATGATATCCCGGGCACTAGTTTTCAGGCAATGAGTGCAAAACTCTTGTTGAACATGGCGGAAAGGATAGCGAGATTAGAAGATAAGCGAGAGGCCCGATACTTTTTAATAGCGATCCTCGACGCCATTGGTGACAAGTTCGCTGCTATGAACCGTGAGTTTAAGAACGCGATTAAAGCATCGAAGCAAGCGAAGGAAAATCCAGACGGAATAGAAAATTATCTAGGAGATCAACATCCGCCGGACTGGGATGAAATCGACATCTTCACTGCTACACCCATCAAAACATCCAATCCTCGAGATAGGAATGCGGACCCGGTATCTGATAACAAGTTTCTTTTCAGGACCCTGGTGAATGGGCTCAAAAATCTATTTTATCAACTTAGGACTTGCAACCCAGACAACGTAAAAGTTGACCCGTCTAACGTCCTCGTTAACTGGACGGAGATATCTTATGGATACAACGCTGAAGAGGTTCGGGTTATCAAGAAGCTGTTTCATGAAGGGGCCGCTGTGTTCAGATATTATGGAGTTGACGAACCGGAACCCGAATTGCAGTATTCATCACCACTGGAATTTATTACAAGCCAATACATGCAGCAAATGAGCAAGGAGGAGAAAGAACTTCTAGAAAGCTTCGGGACGGTTTTCCATTGTGTTGACCCTGCTACCTTCCACGAGGTTTTCCATAGCGAAATACCCTATTTGCACGATTTGATGTTCGAGCACAGCGCACTTCTTCATCTGCCGCAGTTTTTCCTTGCTAGTGAGGCTACCTCTCCAGCTTTTGCAGGGATGGCATTGCAGTACTTGATGAGCCGCATCCATGAAGTTGGTTCTGCCGATATGAAAAAGTCGAGAATCCTCCTACGAATGTTTAAATTATCTTTCATGGCCGTCACCCTATTCTCTGCACAAAACGAGCAGGTCTTGCATCCCCATGTCACCAAGATTGTGACCAAGTGCATAGAGCTTTCTGTCACTGCTGAAGAGCCAATGAATTATTTCCTTCTCCTTCGATCGCTGTTTCGCAGTATCGGTGGTGGACGGTTTGAGCTGCTCTACAAGGAACTTTTACCTCTTCTTGAAATGCTACTCGAAACATTCAACAACTTGCTACTCGGTGCTAGGAAGATTCAGGAACGAGACTTATATGTGGAGCTTACGTTGACAGTCCCAGCTCGTCTCAGCCACTTGCTTCCGCACCTCAGTCATCTTATGCGACCGCTAGTTGTTGCCCTTCGTGCAGGTTCGGATCTTGTTGGACAAGGTCTTAGAACCTTAGAGCTTTGCGTCGATAATCTTACAGCAGACTATCTCGATCCCATAATGGCTCCGATCATGGATGAACTTATGACTGCACTCTGGGATCACCTTCGGCCAAATCCATACAGCCATTTCCATGCACATACTACCATGAGAATCCTGGGAAAGCTGGGCGGGAGGAACCGGAAGTTTCTAAACCACCCTCCGGACCTTACCTTCCAACAGTACGCCGACGACACACCCAGCATGGACATTAAGCTTATTGGGTCAACCAAGGATAGGGCGTTTCCTTTAGATATCGGCATTGATCTCGCTCTGGGAAAGTTGCTCAAGGTACCCAGAAGTCCTGCTGCGAAAGCATCTGATAGTTTCTACAAGCAGCAAGCGTACCGAATGCTTAGTTCCCAACTCAAGCTATACATTGGATTTGAGAACCTGCCAGAGGACTTTGCCGCCTATCTGCGACTTCAAGCCAATGATATTATCGACGCCAAATTTGCTGCCGGGATTGACATACTGGAGAAACCTGAACGTCAATATTCGATTCCTAAGAAGTTAGTCCAAGAGGAAACTTTAAAGAAGCTTCTCAAGGCATGCATGTACGCCACAACTATTCCAGAGTTGAAACAAAGTGCATCCCAGTTTCTTGCCGATGTCTGTCGCCATTTCACGATTATTGAAGTTGGGCGTGCTCTAACACAAGCACGACATTCGCGCCGACCGTTTAACGTGAGCATGGGAGAGGGACCTTTATATTTGGATACGAGAGTACTCGCCGATTCTGTGGTTGAATGCTACTCATCTGACAATCCCGCGGTTCGTGATGCTGCTAAACAAGCTATGTTCACAGTGCGTGATACCGCCGTAATCATTTTTGGATCGCCTGCAAAGATTGGCAAACTTCCATTTTTTCCGCACCTCGCTCGATCATTCTGCCATGCTTGTCACGACGAAGAGTGGTTTATGAAAGCAGGTGGAAGTCTTGGAATTCATCTCTTCGTCACCGATCTCGACCTCGGTGATCAATGGCTAGTTGAGCGGCAAGCTGAATTTGTTCGTGCTTTGATGTATGTTATCAAGGATACTCCATCAGATTTTCCGGCGAGCACTCGGACTCGAGCCCAGGAGGCGCTTGATTTGGTCCTTCACAGATGCACGAAAGGTTTAACGAAGGACGAATTGAAAAATGATAAAAGCAGACTTTTTGGCCTTTGTGGATTCCTTGTTCACGAGTTATCTCACATGAATAAGCACGTCCGTGAGGCCGCACGGAACGCTTTCAAAACTATTGGTCGTACAGTGGGTGCTGAAGTTCACGAGTTATTGTATCCAGTAAAGGATCGCCTTCTCCTACCGATATTCAATAAGCCATTGCGAGCTCTTCCGTTCCCTACCCAGATAGGGTTCATTGAAGCGATCACGTTTTGTCTTGGCCTACATCGAGATATTGTGACGTTCAATGACCAGCTCAACCGACTCTTGATGGAATCTCTAGCACTGGCCGATGTTGACGACGAGTCGCTTGCTTCGAAGCCTCATGAGATCAAGACCGCAGAGCAAATAGTCAATCTCCGTGTATCCTGCCTCCATTTGCTATCTATGGCCATGAGTTTCCCCGACTTCGCTAGTGGGCCACAGAATTCTAGTCGTGCTCGTATAATTGCAGTGTTCTTTAAGTCTCTTTACTCAAAATCTACGGAAATTATCGAGGCTGCTAACTCTGGCTTGCGGGATGTGCTAACCCAAACAAATAAGTTGGGGAAGGATTTACTGCAGAATGGATTGCGTCCCATATTGATGAACCTTCAAGATCCGAAGCGACTGAGCGTGGCCGGACTGGATGGTTTAGCACGGCTGCTTACTCTCCTCACCAATTATTTCAAAATTGAAATTGGCGCACGGTTAATGGAACACATGAAGGTCATCGCAGATGATGCGGTGCTCGAAAAAGTATCGTTTGGCTTAATTGAGCAAAGTCACCCAATGAAGATTGTGGCTGCTATATTCAATATCTTCCATCTGCTTCCACCTGCGGCTACATCCTTCATGGAGAATTTGGTGACCAGGGTCCTTTGGCTGGAAGACAAGCTCCGGAGGACTGCGAATAGCCCTTTCAGAAAGCCGCTGATTAAGTACTTGAATAGATACCCTAAAGAGAGTTGGGCATTTTTTCAGGTTCGCTTCCATGATGAGCGATTCGGCCGGTTCTTCGGCCAGATACTGGCTGAGCCAGAAAGCTTACCCCTGAGATCTGTTGTGGTGGCGGATGCGAATACGTTCATGACGATTGCCTTTGGCCATACTGAGTCTCCTGCTCGAAACACCGCTGCTATTAATGGTATCTATGCGGTTCATTCCATATGCAGCCACGAATCAACTAGAGGATGGCTGAACACCACCCCTGACTTAAAAAGACACCTTTTGAATGCTGGCAGAGACCTTGAGAGTAAGCTTAGAGGTGACAAGTTACCAGTGAATGAACGCTTAAGAGTCGAGCAAGCGGATGACCAACTGTTGGAGATTTTCACAGTTTATCTCTCACAGAACCTTTACGACCTTGATTTCCTTTTTGACCTCATCGACAAGCTCTCTGCGGGAGAACTAAAATCTACTCTTGCTATGCCTAAGTTCCTCTATGAACATATCATCTCGAGCGATTCGATTGATTATCGAAAATCAATAATAATGCGGTGTCTGGATTTGTACGGCCAGAGAAACTCATCGCAAAAGCTGAAAACCTATGCGTTCCGCAACTTGGTCAATCCTATTCTCGCAATGGATGTCCAAAGGACATGGGGAAGCACTAACACCGGCCCTAAGTTAATGGATAAGAACATGACAGAGTTGATTCATAACCGTCTCTGGAAGCCACAGTTAGGGGACATCAGTGATGAGTCCGGCCAAGCAGGTGTTGACCATTCACGGATGGCATTGCTCCAACTGTCCGCTCTTCTTATTAAGTACCATCATATCACGGTTCAAGAATCCCGCAAGGATATCATCAAATTTGCCTGGAGTTATATTCGTTTGGAAGATATTATCAACAAATACGGTGCTTACGTTCTAATCAGCTACTTCATCGCTCACTACGAAACGCCTTCGAAAATTGTCGTCCAGATATACGTTGCGTTACTGAGAGCCCACCAAAATGAAGGGAAGGCACTCGTGACACAAGCACTAGAAATCCTGGCACCCGTTCTTCCAAAACGAATCAGTTCCGCTGGAGATGCAAGGTATCCACTCTGGGCAAGGTGGCCGCGCCGTATCCTTGCTGAAGAGACTGCGAATCTCCAGCAAGTTATGAGCATTCTCCAATTTCTTGTCCGCCAGCCAGACCTATTTTACGAGTCCCGCGAATACTTCGTCCCCCTCATTGTTCCATCTTTGGTCAAGATCGCTGGCCCGCCGAATCCCTCCAATGAAAGCAAAAAGCTTGCCCTCAACTTGATCGGGTTGATATGGACCTGGGAAAAACGACGTGTTACAGATCAGGTGTCTGGTTCTCCTAATCCAAGAAAACGAAAATTGGAAGAGACTCGGGCGTCCCCACCCGGACCTCCTGGACCGCTGGCCATGCGAGAACGACCTGATTATATGATTCCCCTCGATTTGAGAACGGCTCTTATCAAATATCTCGTAACTTTCATTTGCGGGCTCCCGGAGCGTTTTCCTGTCCCCGCGTCAAAGTTGCGTGAACGAAATTCGGTAAAGGTGCAACCGTTTGTTCTGTATGGGGACATGATTAAACGGGCTGTGCAGCTGTTGCGGGACCTACTTTCAACCGAATTCTGGACTGATCTTGACATAGATCTCTACCAGAAGGTGACCGAGCCGATTCTTTCCGGGGAGAAGGTGGCGGAGAAGCCAGACGAGAAACATATAACAGGAATGGTCAATGCACTCCAAGTCCTAAGGGTTCTACTCGCTGCTAAACCAGACGAGTGGGTTGCTAGTCGGGTGTCAGCGGTACAGATTCTGTTCGAGAAGTCGTTACGTATGGATAACCCGGAAATTCAGGATTGTTTACACGGGATTGAGGATGAAATGGATATTTCGCCTAAACTTCCTCCACCAGTCAAGCGAGTTTTGGACTCTTTACCCCAAGAGCAACCAGCCGACGACGAAGCCATGGATGTTGATGATGCTCCGACCGAGTTTGCCACCTATTTGTCCACCATTGCAACGGAATCCCTCTCGGCAAATAATTATATCTCAGCCATCAACATCCTTTGGACACTCTCCAAGAGCCGACCTGCAGAGATGGATCAGCATATTCCACATGTTATGAAGGTCCTTTCTCAGAAACTTGCAAAAGACCATGTTGCTGTTTATGCAAGCAATCATGGCTCAGCTGCTACTAGGAATGGGAGTCAGGAACAAACGGCTCCTGACCAGCAAGAGTTTGAACTTGGTGTCGGTTTGATTCTTAAAACCATCGACTTGATTGCCGTCCGTATGTCACATTTAGGCGAACAAAGGCGGCCGTTCCTCAGTGTCTTAGCTCAACTTGTCGAAAGGTCACATAATATCCGGTTATGCTCCAAAGTGTTGGGGATGGTTGAGTCCTGGATCTTCCACTCTACCGAATCCTGGCCAACCTTGAAAGAGAAGACTGCAGTGCTACATAAAATGTTGCTATTTGAAGCAAGGCCAGATCAAACCATGTCGAAAAAGTTCCTAGAGCTGGTGATTCGCATTTATGAAGATCCTAAGATCACCCGAACAGAACTTACGGTTCGATTGGAACACGCGTTCCTCATTGGCACCAGGGCACAAGATGTTGAGATGCGTTCTCGCTTCATGACTATTTTCGATCGAAGCTTGACCCGGTCCGCTAGCCGACGGCTCAGTTACGTTCTTACATCGCAAAACTGGGATACTCTTGCTGATTCGTTTTGGCTGACTCAGGCCTCACAACTAGTTATGGGCTCGATTGACATGACTACTCCGGCGAAATTACATCCGGAAGATTTCACCTTACCACCCGCTTCCTTTTTATTCGGCCACTGCGAGAAAGACCCATCGAAAGCCAACGTTGTAGTGGATAACAATTTGGAGTCCTTAATCTCCGAACATCGAACTTTCTATTTGGATATTGCTGATGTCAAAGCTCGTGACATCCTTGAGCCATTGTCCCAGTTACAGCACGCCAATCCAAAGGTTGCCTACAAAGTTTGGGTCACTTTGTTTACGATCTGTTGGTCTGCATTATCACGGGAGGAGCGAATCGATCTCGAGAAAGGGATTGTGACACTTCTTACGAAGGAATATCATCAGCGACAGCTTGATGATCGTCCAAATGTTGTTCAGGCTTTGCTTGAAGGTGTTATAAGGGCCAAACCACGCTTCAAAATCCCTCCGCATGTGCTCAAATTCCTCAGCAGGACATATGATGCATGGTATACAGCTGCTGTTGCTCTTGAGCAGTCAGCAATCAGCCCAATAATCGACACCCCCACTGCCCGTGAAAGCAATCTTGATGCTCTTGTTGAAATTTACTCGGGGCTTCAGGAGGATGATATGTTTTATGGTACCTGGAGGAGACGGTGCAAATTTGTTGAGACGAACTCCGCACTTTCTTATGAACAACAGGGAATGTGGGACAAGGCACAGCAGCTCTATGAATCTGCCCAAATTAAGGCGCGAACTGGTGCAGTGCCATTCTCACAGGGAGAGTATTATCTCTGGGAGGATCACTGGGTGATCTGCGCCCAGAAACTACAGCAGTGGGAGATACTGGGAGACTTTGCAAAGCATGAGAATTTCAATGACCTGCTGCTCGAATCCATTTGGAGAAGCCTTGACAGCTGGCAAGGTGACGCGAACCGCGAACAAATTGAAACCCTGATAAAGGGTGTATCCGATGCGCCAACACCACGTCGCACCTTTTTCCAGGCTTTTATGTCGCTCCTGAAATTTCACGCAAAGCAGGAAAATCCTCAAGAATTCCACAATACATGCGACGAGGCGATTCAATTATCTATTCGCAAATGGCACCAACTTCCCAAACGTATCACAAACGCCCATATTCCTATCCTGCAGATATTCCAACAGCTTGTGGAGCTGCACGATGCGAGTGTCATCTGTTCGAGCCTTAATCAGACGAACGAGAGGAACCTGGATACGAAATCCGCCGAACTTAAGCTTCTGCTCGGAACTTGGCGCGATCGACTCCCGAATGTCTGGGATGATATCAATGCTTGGCAGGATCTTGTCACCTGGCGACAACATATCTTCCAGCTAATAAATCAAACATACCTTAGCCTCCTTCCACCCCAGACCAACAATGTTGCGAGCAACTCCTACGCCTATAGGGGCTATCATGAGACCGCCTGGATCATTAATCGCTTTGCTCACGTCGCCCGAAAACATCAGATGCCTGAAGTGTGTATTAACCAACTCAGCCGGATTTACACCCTCCCAAATATTGAGATTCAGGAGGCCTTTTTGAAATTGAGGGAGCAAGCTAAGTGTCATTACCAGAACCCTAAGGAACTTAATAGCGGTCTGGATGTCATTAACAATACGAACCTTAACTATTTCGGGGCTCAGCAAAAGGCGGAATTCTTTACATTGAAAGGCATGTTTCTGGCTAAACTGAGTCATGTAAACGAGGCGAACGATGCATTCGGCGTTGCTCTATATTACGATTTGCGACTTCCTAAGGCGTGGGCTGAATGGGGTCAATATAGCGATCAGCGCTTCAAAGCCGACCCTTCGGATATGGAGCTGGGAAGCAATGCGATGAGTTGTTACCTAGAAGCCGCGGGACTTTATAAAAGCCATAAATCGAGGAAGCTCCTCAGCCGCATTTTGTGGCTGCTAAGTCAGGATAACGACGAGGGGAAAATTGCGACTGCGTTTGAAAATTTCAAGGGTGATACTCCTGTGTGGTACTGGATTACGTTTATCCCACAGCTACTCACCAGCCTTTCTCATCGCGAAGCCCGGCTATGTAAAGCGGTGCTAGGGAAGATCGCTAAGTTGTACCCTCAGTCCCTATTTTTCCTACTTCGAACTTGCCGTGAAGACCTACTAGGAATCAAGAAGAGTCAGGATCAGAAGCAGGAGAAAATCAACCGGCTGAAACAGCAGCAGAGGTCGCCGCAAATTAAGACTGAAAACAAACCCGGTTCTCAGATGTCGGACGCGGCCACAAATCCTTCAGCTGGCGTTGGATCTCCTAGGCCGCCACAAGCAAATCCAAGCGCTCCCCAGATGAGTAGCACACCTGATGTCGCTCAAAAAGAGAAGCAACCCTGGGAATATGCGGAAGACATCATGGCGGGACTTAAGACGGCTTTCCCCTTGCTGGCATTGTCGATGGAGACAATGGTTGATCAAATCCACAAAAACTTCAAATGTCCGCCAGACGAGGATGCTTATCGTCTCATCGTGGCGTTGCTTAATGATGGCCTTGCCTACGTTGGTCGCATGCCCTCTTCGTATGCGCAGGACTTCAAGCTTCCACATTCTACTGAAGCCAATATTACACGATTTGCGGAAACTATTCTCCCTGCTCATATTCGAAAATCATTCGAGGCAGATTTCGTTATTAAGAAGCCGACTATGTATGAGTATATCCATAAGCTTCGAAGATGGCGCGACAAATTTGAGGAAAAGCTCGACCGTCGCCCTCACTTCCACTTCCTCGAAGCGTACTCACCGCATCTTAGCGAGTTCAAATTTCAAAAGTTCGATGAAGTCGAAGTTCCTGGCCAATATTTGGAACACAAGGATAAAAATCAGGATTTTGTGAGAATCGATCGCTTCTTGCCCAATGTGGATCTGGTACGGGGAATCGGAGTATGCCACCGAAGACTAAAAATACGTGGCCACGACGGCAGCCTTCACGCGTTTGCAGTTCAGCACCCAGCTGCTCGCCATTGCAGACGTGAAGAAAGAATGCTACAACTGTTCCGAATCTTCAACTGCGTGCTTCGAAAACGAAAGGAGAGCCGTCGCCGGAATATCTATTTCCATCTTCCATTAATGGTTCCGCTTGCGCCTCATATCCGTCTTGTCCAGGATGATTCTTCGTACATCTCCCTGCAAGGGATCTATGAGGACCATTGTCGCCAGACCGGGATGAACAAAGATGAGCCAATGCTCTATACAATGGAGAAAATGCGTGCACTTGCAGAAAATAAGATAAATGTGAGCCGACCTTTGCATGGAATCCGTGAAGTTACCAGCTTTACTAACTTTCAACAGCGCGCTCCGGATCACTCCGTCATCCTACGAACAGAAATTTTCTCCGCCATTCAGCAGAAATGGGTCCCCAACACGGTTCTTCTAGACTTTATTCGACAAACATACCCCCAGTACGCAGATTTTTGGCTCTTCCGCCGACAGTTCTCCTATCAGTATGCTGCAATCGCTTTCATGACGTATGTCATGCACATGGGGAACCGCTACCCAAGCAAGATTCATATCTCTAGACGTACCGGCGATATCTGGAGTTCGGAGCTAATCCCGGCCATGAACAACGCGAAAGCCCTTTTTTACAACCCCGAACACGTTCCATTTAGACTCACGCCCAACATCCAGACCTTAATGGGTCCATTGGCCACGGAAGGAATCTTTGCGTGCGCAATCATGGCGATTGCTAGATGTCTCACGGAACCGCGGCTTGAGTTAGAACAGCAACTGAGCATTTTCGTTCGCGATGAACTACTAATCTGGGCCGCCGCTCAACAACGCGTTCTACCGCAAATGAAAGACCTAGTGCAGAGCAATATTGATTTCATTGTCAACCGAGCTATCAGTTTGGCCAGTCCTCCTGAGGGCAACCTTCCTGCCAACCAATCCGCTATCGACCTTATTTCCAAGGCAGTTAACCCCCAGAGTTTGGCACAGTGCGAGGCTCTGTGGATGCCATACATGTAATCTGTCAAGTTTTCATGTCTCTCCTTTTCTTTTTATTCTTGCGTTTATAGCTTCTTTGATTTTTTTTTTTTTTCGTAATGTATTATCAGTTGTGGTTTGATGATTTCGCGCTCTAAGGGTCTACGTTTGATGGACATGACATGATAAGTTGACCAAAGGTGTACTTTAGCATGGCGTTGTCGGATATGAAAATGCCCTGGATGATCGTCCCTTCGGGCAACTGGTTGAACTGGTCAAACTGGTCAGGATTTGCTGGGTTATTCATTTCATTATGTATGGAATTATTCTAAATTCCTAATGTTAAATTCTGAATTCACAATTTCATTTCATCAACTATTGCCCTTTTTGAACATTAAATATAAAAGGGGTATTGATACTACAGAATATCCAGGAGAGTGCCGCAAAACGCCTTCCGCAAAATGAGGAAATATGCCATGGACTTAAACTAAAGAAGTTTTCTTTTTTATTCCCAGACCGGCTGAGAACGGCTTTTTAGGCTTTTTTACCCTCGCAAATGACGGTGGCGGCATCTCTGCAGAATTCGGTACGGGCGAGTCTCCTGTGTCGCTCTCTTCAACTAATCGCTTCACGCGCTCGCCATCTTTAGTCATAAAGACTCTTCGCGCGATTTCAGCATCCTCCGCATCGGCTTTTGCTTGCGCATCTTCTGCCTCCCGTCTCGCTCGTAGAAGGGCTGCTTCTTCCCCGCCCCTTTCTCCACGCTCAATTCTGGCATTCCTCGTTCGAATCTCATCCAACGCATCAGCGACGGCCATCTCTCGTTTTGAGTCCAACATCTTTTCTTCGAGTTCCATCATCTTATCTCTCTGTGCTCTCTCCTCTGCCTCATTTTCTTCCCTCTCGAGTCGATCGAGTGTCTCTTCTTCGGTTTCATTGACTTGGCTCGCAGCCGCATCTCTCCAGGGCTCGAAGTTCCGTTTTGCGCCTCTCTCACACGTATAATCCATGTTTTTGGGGTCGGTTTTAAAAGTAATTTCGCTCGAGCATCGGGTGCATCTTATATAGAAGCGATATATTGGAATATTCAGATACCGTTCATCGGTGGTCTCTTTTCGAGCGTTGAACTTCCGGCCTTTGTAGATATACTCTCCACAGTTGGTGCATTTGAGACTAAACGGGGCCATTAATCGGACTGTGAGAAGCTTCGGACCTGTGGCGCGCAAATGCTTGGGTGTGCGCGTAATGGCTGACGGGTCAAAGTCGGGAGGGTAGTATTTCGTCTATTTTATATTAGCCATATGTCTGCTTTTAGGGGAGTGACGGGTCGTCTACTTACAAGAACCTTACGTTCAGACATGGTTGCGGGGAGTGGTGACTAGAGCTAACTAACAATATTGTTGGGATTCTGTCTCTCTTGACAGCAAAGTAATAGTTGATAGACTCCGAAGGTCAGTGGCAGTTGAAGTCGTCAGTCGCCCAGGTGTCTCCGCGTCCGGTCCCAGGTCGCCACTCCATATCACGTGCAAAAATACTGATTCTAACTTAGTTATTAGTCAGAACTATCGACTAAACGGGACAAACTTGACAAACGCCGCAAACAAAACAAACAGCGCGGCTTCACCTCGTCGCTTCGAGCACGGAGAAAGAACATCGGCGGGCAGCGAAGAGCACGTAGCTTATCGTCTCACCACGGCTATGATTGTGTGCGAGTGATTCAGGGATTGTTGGGCTTCCTCTGGAATGCATGATGTCGCATAAACAAGCTCAATGATCCTCCTCTTCCCGACCCAAAGCGCCTAGCTTCGCTCCCGACGGCATTATGGAAGACTTTCTCCGTAACTGGAGGCAGGAAGCCCTCAACAGAGGACAACACGATGCGGCCATATATATAGGTGATAAAGTGCTAGCTTTTACAAGTGAGTCCGGCTATCCTAAATCTCTCTTGTCTTGCTACGGGTCTAACAGAGCCAAATCGCGTGCGATAGATAGTGATAATGATGCCTTTTGGCTGGCCCAAGTCCACTTTTCCAACAATAATTACACCCGAGCATTAGCTCTTCTGACCAGGAAGGATCTAATATTCCGGAGTTCTTCTTGCAAATATCTCGCTGCCCATTGCTACATAAAACAAAACAAATATGACCAAGCACTTCAGGTGCTAGGTGAACACAACCCCGCACATCTCATTTCGACTGCTAGTAACAGCCGGCGAAAACTGCAGCACCGAAATGAAAGTTCGCACATTACCCTCCGGAATGGAAAGTCTACAGCGTCTAGATCGGATAGAATTGAACGGAATGAGGAAAGAGAGCGTGAAGATGCAAGCCACATCAAATTCGAAGCTGCCATGTGCTATTTGAGAGGCTTATGTTACGCTCGTCAAAATGCATTTGACCGAGCTCGAGATTGCTATAAGGATGCCGTACGAATTGACATCCAGTGCTTTGAAGCGTTTGAGCAGCTAATGAAGAACTCTTTGATGTCCCCTGCTGAAGAGCTGGAGTTTTTAGAGTCGCTTGACTTTGATTCTATGAACCCTTCCTCCGATCCATCCATTTCCCAAGAAGCAGCTGAATTTGTGAAGCTCCTCTACACGACACGGTTATCCAAATACTCGTCCCCTTCTGCCATTTCTCACGCTACCGAAACCTTATCCACACACTACAATCTCGCAGAAAACCCTGATCTTCTTCTATCTCGCGCAGAAACACTCTACACTCAATGCCGATTCCCTGAGGCTCTCCAGCTAACCTCTTCTATTCTCTCTTCCTTAGACTCTGATTCCATGTCCGCAGCAACGTCGCAGGGAAGTCAGAGTCGCAGCATCGGTCATTCTCCATCTGTCTACCCTTTACACCTTGCTTGTCTATATGAAACCGGCGCAACAAATTCACTCTTTCTGCTAGCCCACACACTGGCGGATAACGCACCGGAAGAGTCGTATACATACCTCGCCATTGGCGTGTACTATTTATCCGTCTCAAAAATTGCCGAAGCCAGACGATTTTTTTCTAAAGCGTCCCTATTAGACCCGCATTCGGCGCCTGCTTGGATCGGATTCGCTCACACATTTGCTGCCGAGGGAGAACACGACCAGGCGATAGCAGCGTATAGCACAGCCGCCAGGCTATTTCAAGGAAGCCATCTTCCTCAGTTATTTCTTGGGATGCAACATCTCGCCCTAAACAACATGTCTCTCGCCCATGAATACCTATCAGCGGCTTATAACATGTCCTCCGGCTCTCTCTCTGCTACCTCGCGAAATGGCTCTTTTTCGTTCGGCGCTGGTAACATGCAGCCGCCACTTGGCGGAGACCCTCTTGTTCTTAATGAGGTTGGAGTTGTTCTATACCATCAAGCTAATCTAGAGGGAGCCATTGAGTTCTTCCGGCGGACATTGGCTTTAGCTGCTTCATTACAATGTGACCCGGGTGCCTGGTTAGCAACGCGTGCTAACTTGGGACATGCATTACGCAGGTTAGGCAGTTTTGAAGAAGCTCTGGTAGAATTTGACGAATGCCTTAGAATTGGTGCCGGTGGTTCTACAACTGGCTATACTGGTAAAGGTGGAGTGGGCGCCACTTTATCTGCTGGGTCTGCTGCTGTCGGTGGCTATGAAGATAGAGGTCTCACTGGTTCTTTGCACACAGCCCGTGGACTTGTTTTGCTGGAATTGGGCAGAACCATGGAGGCCGTCACCACCCTTCATGAAGCTGTTCGTGTGCTGGGTACGAGCGGAGGTGACGCAGCTGCTGGTGCAGGAGTTGCTGGGACATTGCTTTCAAGGGCACTAGAAATTTGGGCCCTAGAAGAAGGTGATCGGGATGCGGCCGCGACTGCCTCTGAGCATATAGAGACCGACGTTCCCACTAAGTCGAGACCGACCGCTGCCAAAGGGAAAGACGTGCAGAAGGCCAAATCTTCAAGTCGGATCGGTAGTAGAACCAGGTCGCGAAAAACTCCACTCCCTGCCCAAGAATGGACGGATGACGTTATCAACCGCGAATCTCCGAATACCCCCGGCGGTCAGCGACCAGCTTCCATGGAGTTGGATGATGATGCGGATGGCCTACTCAATAATGCTCTTGCACGTATAAAATCCAGACATGCCACGAGACAAAGAGATGTTGGTCTAGGTGCGAATGACCAGGCCTTTGATACACCTGAACCCAGCCAAAATACACGTGCAACAAGAGCGACCAGTAGACGCAAAACTCCAGTGACGCGTGGTCCTCCTGGATGATGTTTACCTCCATTTAGCCTAATCCTCCATTATTTGTTAAAAGCCATGGCTGTCAAACACATGAGGATTCATAGTGCTATTTTTAAGCAGGTCGACTTTTCGTGCTAATTGTCATTTCATGTGCTCAATATGGCATTGGTGCATGTTATTATGTCCTCATGAGGAACTCTAATGCAGTTTCCAACTGGCGCTTGCATGACTGGAGTTTGTTACTGGGGATGGAATTTCATTTTTTTTTTTTTTTTCTTTTTTTTCATTTTTTTCTGTTTTTTCTGTCAGTTTGTTGATAAGGTGAAGAATAATGCTTGTACAGCTGATATCTGTGGATTGTGCCTCTTAGTCTTTTATCATCAGTCACCCGTTCAATACCACAAAAATATAACACAGCATAATGCAAGAGAAATATCCAGAATATCAGTCATTTTAATTGATCTTTGTATAATTGTTGCTATGAACATAAACAAAAAAAAAGTGTATCCGAAACAGCCAGCCAAAATATTGGTGCATTTATCTCCCCTTTACTCCTGACTTTTCCCCAATTTCCTATCTTTTCACAATCGCCTCAAAAGCACACTTGCCTCAAGAAACAATATCAGCTCAACGCCTTTGCCCATGCCAACAGCTCACCTGTCTTATAAGTAAAGTGTGACCGAAAAATGCATTTCATGCCAACACCCTATTCCAATGCCAAGGAAATATATATAAATACATACATACATATATAGGATGTATGCGTAGCGCCGTTATATCCGTAACGATCATATATGCACAGGATGCTTCGAATATTTAACATAATACGAAGGAATCCAAGTTCCAGCCGGAAGGGAGGAAGAGGCCTTTAGTTCAGTCACGGCCACAGGGGAGGATGGATATATTCGGCCGCCCGGTCCAGCAGGTTGGGGAGATTCCAGTCTGAGCTCCCAGAACTTTCCGGCGTCGGAGGAGGCAATGATCCGGCCCTTGTAGCGTTTATTGACGGTCCACCTATAGATCCAGATGGCGTTACATACCCGGAGATACTCACACCTACACCCGGGCTTGACGACATAGAGGGTAGGGACCCGATAGGCTGGACCTGTTGTTGTCGGCTGTGCATGCTAAAAGCAGCGTTCAGCTTTTGTAAAGCACGTAATGACTTTGTGAGTGGTTTCTGCCATTGGGTTTCCGTATCCGTAGCCACAGACGCGGGTATTGTGGAAGTCGTTGAAATCTGGGTTGGATCTAAGGTTGACGTGGGAATATTCGTTACACCACTAATGAGGTGGGGTGAGCCTTCTGATACCGATTTGCTAGCTCCAGGAGAGGGTCCTTTGTCGGTTGCATCCGCTGCCGTCCGCTCTGCGATCGCGTGCTCAAGTTGTAGGAGAAGACAGCGGATATGGGCATCATGTTTGGACTCCTCTAGGACCGCCAGAAGAAACGCAGAACTGATGGTTCGTTGTAAACTGATCCAAGATCTTGAAGCCTGTGGGTTAGCAGCGTGCAATTCTACATATGCCTCCACAGTTCTACTGAGCGCCTGAATGCATTCTTTTCGTACAGCAGCAGTTGTTGCGTCCGTTGGATCAGCTGTTACTTTTAATGCTGGTCGACATAGCTCCGAAGCGATATAGGAAGAATGTAACTTCAACCCAAGTCTTTCGAGGTTTTGTTTTGGCGTGGTACAAAACTTGGGGTCGCGCAAGTGAGGAGCGGCGTCAGCTAGAATGCGCGTAATTTCCTCTCGATATGCCCGGGTGACAGCAAAGCTCATTTGAGATTGGGGAGACAGCATACGACTTCGAACAATCTCAAGAGTTAAGGCAATTATCCTGCAAAGGGTCTCAAAGAAAGATCTGTTCCCTGGTTGTGAGTTTGCCCGGTACGGAATGTCGGGATGGCCGAAAGCCATCGTAGAAGGTCGATCGTAGGATAATGAAAAGTGGCTATCTTGCCAGGCTGTGGACCACCTTTTAAACATGAAAACGTTAGGCATAGAATACCCTGGAGTTTGCTTTGAAGGATCAAACCTACCAAACCTTCCTCCGAATATACCTCTCAGCGGGTGAGAATTTGTGAGACTCAACTTGTAAACCGAGGGATATGACCATCCTTAGAGTCATCCCTTTTTCGAGTTAGCTAAAATTGTGAGCTGATTAAGGTGCCCTACTAACCTAGTAAGACATATGAAGCCCCGGGGTTCATATTATGGGAAAGCACGTT